CAGATTTAATACATACGTTGGTGAACAAATTCAGAACACAAAAAACCCATCCTTTTATTTTCCTGACTCACTAGTCAAATTTATTACTATTTTTAAGATTTTATTTGACTGGGCGCCTGGGTGGCTCAGTTGGTTAAGCGACTGCCTTCGGCTCAGGTCATGATCCTGGAGTCCTGGGATCGAGTCCTGCATCGGGCTCCCTGCTCGGCAGGGAGTCTGCTCTTCCCTCTGACCTTATCCCCTCTCATGTGCTCTCTCTCTCTCTCAATCTCTCTCTCAAATAAATAAATAAAATCTTTAAAAAAAAAAAAAGATTTTATTTGACAGAGCGAGCAAGCCCAAGCAGGGGGAGCAGGCTTCCCCGAGCAGGGAACCCAATCTGGGGCTCGATCCCAGAATCCTGGGATCGTGACCTGAGCTGAAGGCAGATGCTTAATGACCGAGCCACCCAGGTGCCCCTCGTTAGTCAAATTTAGAAGGCCAAGTTTTAACAACTGCTTTTAAACCAACCTAACACCAAACTTCAGCATTTAGTTGGAGATTCAGGCATGACGTTATTTAGTTACGTCTCCTTTTGGTCCTAGCCTTATATTTCCAGTTCATTCTTTTTTATTTTTTATTTTTAAAGATTTTATTTATTTGAGAGAGCGAGAATGAGAGAGAGAGAGAGAGCACATGAGAGGGGGGAGGGTCAGAGGGAGAAGCAGACTCCCTGCTGAGCAGGGAGCCCGATGTGGGACTCGATCCCGGGACTCCAGGATCATGACCCGAGCCGAAGGCGGTCGCTTAACCAACTGAGCTACCCAGGCGCCCTCCAGTTCATTCTTGACTTAAAAAAAAACATTTCAATATAAACATTCTAGAGTTAAACCAGCTTCCCTAGGATATAAATTATTACTCTTCTTCTCAGCCTTGGACTGATTTTTGTAATGATTATTGCCTAACACCTTCATAGCAGAACAGCAATTAAAAGCTTAAATGTAAATTGAATATTGAAAAATTATTACTGCTCAAAAGCACTCAAAATTGTTACTCTTGGTTACTTGGCACTGTGCTTTTCTGGAGACAAAAACAGTGAGTGGAGGGACATCCTGTAGCCATTTCTAGTTTATCACGGGTGGTAAGGTGTTTTCAATACTACATTCTTCTCCAGCCTGCACTCCTTCCAAAACAGTATATTGGATTCTTTTCCCTGTCCAAACGGAATATCTGCTAAGCTTAGTGTAAGAAGCCTATTTCAAGTGTTTAATGCTGTGTCAATATGTGCTAAACAATAACTCAACATCCAATTTATCTAGCACTTGCATTTCTAGCAACAACTGCTAGACCATGCTTCGGTGGCTATATTAGAAAGGCAAGTCTGTTCATATTTTATTGCAAATCTAAATTTTTAGATTTTGCTTTTTAATTAAAAAGCCCAACCTTGGGGCAAAAGAGAAGGCTAACTGCAACCTAAGAGCTTGGTATGTATTTTTTTCCTTTTTTTTTTTTTTTAAAAGATTTTATTTATTTCACAGAGAAAGTCACAGCGAGAGAGGGAACACAAGCAGGGGGAGTGAGAGAGGGAGAAGCAGGCTTCCCGCGGAGCAGGGAGCCTGATGCAGGGCTCGATCCCGGGACCCTAGGATCATGACCCGAGCCAAAGGCAGACGCTTAACGACTGAGCCACCCAGGCGCCCCTGTATTTTTAAGTCAAAATCTGTCATGAGAGACAGTAAAAACTTGGTATTTAACGCTGACTCGGGGGCGCCTGGGTAGCTCAGTCGGTTAAGCATCTGCCTTCAGCTCTGGTCATGATGGGGGGGGTCCTGGGATCGAGTCCCGCTGTTGGGCTCCCTGCTCAGGGGGGAGTCTGCTTCTCCCTCTGCCACTCCCCACTGCTCGTGCTCTCTCTCTCAAATAAATCTTTAAAAAAACACAAAAACTTGGTAGTTTAGCTTTTAAGTCTTTAGCGCATTCACTGTCTTAAGTCTTTTAAGTCAGACTTCCTAAAGGAAGATATGTTAGCCTTTGGGGAATCTGTGTTAAGACCTGTTTTGTAGTGAAGAAATTTATCCTAAATGCTTAAGACACTCCAAAGTAGATGGCTGAAAGAACTAATAGTCCTACTGATGAATATTTTCAGTAAGGTAAGGTACTCACCAATTTGAGCAGTCACCATCTAGATTTGTTTTTAAACACACAGCTTGAAAAAACTCTTTGCCTATATTCACCCAACAGCACACACTATGTATCAAGAACTAGGTCGGGGACACATCCTGAACATTTAGAGACCTTAGGAAAATAGATTACCAAGGGCTTTTCCTCAACACACAGAGCCCTGTCAACCTGTTTGCTTGGTGCCCTGCACATAAATGCTTCCTCCTGCCAACAGCCACGGTGGAAGCAGCAGTTAGGTCCGAAGGCAAGGGGATTCTGAACCTTCGTGATGCAACGCTTCCTTTGCTCTAAGACACCAGACTTAAGACCCCCATGTTAGCTTTACTTCTGAATTCCAAAGGTGTACCCTGTGTTTTAGTTGAGTGGGGAATTACATGAGAACTTGACCGATCCAGAGGGTGATGTTCAGCAACACTCTTAAGAATACATTTCCAAATCTTCACGCAAGGGAATCCCTCCAAAGGACTCCTGGAAACTCTCACAAGCATCCAAAGCATCCATTTTAACATTTATACAGTTGAAAATAGAAAATGAATACAACTCTTGCTATCTACAGGTGACCCCCACCAGGGTACCTTTGGGGACGAACAGTGAGAAGGGGAAGGAAACCAGTTGTTACACTTGTTCTCACACAGGGAAGTGCCTTGACAGACACACAAGGCCTGGGCAGCAGCAGAATACTGGTGCAGAGAGAGTCTGCTCAGTGTCTTAAGTGTAGTGTACGTGGAAAGAAAACTGGAGGCTAGGACACAACCATCTCAAGAGAACTGCTTATACAGGGCACTCCCGTAATAGTTTGAGGACTCCTCAAAGGTTCAGTTCCATCAGACTTTTTCTTCATAAACTTGTCAATTGGCCAGCTTTATTGTTAATTACACATAAAAACAGGGTCTCTCTATTCCGCTAGGTTAATGGAAAAATAAGCCACACGAGAAAAGCCCAACACAATGAAAAACTTCTATTTCCAGATATTAAAAAAAGGAGGTATTTGCCGTGGGTTACTACGAAATGGGATTGCCTACATTTTGATACAATCCCAGAAATTTCAGTCTGTAATTTTGCTTACTGGGGCACCATGTAATGATGGCATCTTTAGATGAAATGTATATTCTCTTTAAAATGTTGATGGAGCACAAGGAGATGATCTCTCATTTTCAGAAAACAGTTAAAAGCATTCCCACTATACTCTGGAGTCTTGTCATTTAAATGGACAATCAAGTCATTTTTATATGGGTCTGAAATTTGTTTTATGGACAAAAGTTTGTGGTTGAAGAAATTCCCTTTATGAAAACCTTTTATGTAACCCCCAACTTTAAACGTTTAGGTAGACAGATAGTGAAAATTTAACTGTTAATTTTTTACTGACCTGTAAGTTGTCAGTTCAAAATATCAGTGGCTATGTACATTTTCATTCAATTAAGTGTATTCATGTAGGTAAGAATAAAGTTCAAACGGTTTAATCCAAGTGCAGTTTTCCAAAATGCGGAACAGTGGTTAAATATCAGTCTTTTGATTCTATTTTTCAGAAATGTAGAAAATCTGAGCTAGGTCTTTAGCAGTACCCCAGCTTAAAGGACACACCAACAGGCTTCTGTGGAAATCCTATTTCTTTGCAACACTGCAACAAAGAATTGCATTTCAGATACTAAAAAGTAGAGCAGATGAAATCTGCTGGAGAATTAACTGAATTGTCACTCCTATGACTCCCCTTAAAACATGTGACCTGCTGCACTTCTGATAATTTAAATGAACCTTGAAACACACACCAGAGTGTTTGCCAAGTCTCCGTTTTAGACTGAACTGTTAAGTCAGCAATTAGATCACAACTCAATTTTTGAACTGCTTAGATGTGAATATACTTTGGAGATACAAAAGGAGGGCCAAATTCCTCTATTTGTAAACACTTCCCCTTTTAAGTTCCCATTAAATCTATTACACCTCTAAATTACCTGTTTAGATATCTTATTTTAATAAATAAAAGGGAAAGCCGAAATTTAATTTATAAAGTTTTATTTTTGTATATGTGCTAAATCTTAGGAACTGTGGACAATCTTCAGTCTGTTGGCTTGTAAAAGGCTGAGAAGTGTGTGATCTGAGTGGTGAATTTCCTTTGGGGAATCTGGATTTCAAAAAAAAAAATCACTCATTTGCAAGTTTAAAACATGGTGCACGTTTCCCCCTTTTTTCTTACACCTATGAATTTGGAGGAAAAGCGCTACATTTCTGCAAATGTAAAATAATTGTTATACAGTCGGCAGCAAGTTCTTAATACATTTAGCACTTTTTGTAGTGATGTATCACACCCAAAACCTTATTTTCAAACACTAAACACTCATGTAGGTGCAGGACCAATTTTGGTTGAGCACTACTATAAAACCAGTACTGATTTTTTTCTTAGTAACACAAAAAACGGGGTAGGGTGGGGCGGGAAGGAGGTTGTTTTCCTTTCTCTGCAGTATGTAGTACCTTCCAGCTAGAGACAGACAAAGTTGGGCACTTCTTATAAGGAAAAGGCAATTTTCTTATCGTTAGAATTCTAAATAAGGCAGGATATATCCACCAAATTAACCACAAAATTCAGCAAAGTAAGAGTTCATGGGAGAACAGAAGCTGGAAAAATACCAAGAAAAAGTAAAAGGAACCATTTTGTTGGAGTAGTCATCAGAAAATTCACAGACTGTTGCTTTCATTTACAAACGTAATTTCAATAAAAAAGGCTCCTCTTCTTTTTAACCACTAGGATTAAATACTTATCATTCACTAATAAAAGTTAATCATGAAAAAAATATAAAACATTTTAATAATTCTAAATTTGTATATATAACAGCTAAAAGACACAGGTTGGGAAATTATGTTATTTCTGCCTCTACAATGCTGAACATGAAAATTTGGTTGGTGGAGGGCTTAGAGACAGCAGCGATATGGTTTTTACCAAGTTGTGCACGGAAATACTTCGATCCAACAGGGCAAAGCCCTTGTTCACAGATTAACAATGAAAAATAGCTTTAGTATTTATGTTAACAGATTCTATGGTCTTCTATGAAGTTATCATGCCATTTAGAATCCTGGGGGATACTTCTTTGAAAGGAAGACTAGTGATTCTGAAACAAACATTTAAAGTAGGAATTATATATATGGCTCAAGAAATCAGTTGAGGGAGAATTAAAGATAGGCACTTTGAAGACTTGGAAGTTTAAAATGTGCCACTGATGTTCAGAAAAAAACCTCAACACCACCATGTTGCTCTTACAATAACATGCGCCTTAAAATTTCCGCTTATATGTTAATGCTTAAGAAGTTAGAGAAAACAATTCACACAAACAAAAATAAATCTCCCTGTTCACTTTCCCTCGATCCTGGGCACAACACAGACGGCTCTTCCACAAATGGAGGGAAAAGGATTCACAAGCCCTCACCTGGCACAAGGGGAATTGTCAATTCAAAGCAACCAAGATGGGATCTCCCTCCAAGGAGAAAAATTCACAGCCTTTTCAAATGTCAAGTTTTTCGTGTCTAGGAAGTCATTAAAGTTTTTAAATTACGTACATCACATACTTTGTTAAGGAGCGGGAAATACAAAAACCACCTCTCCTCATCTGGTGAGAAGGTGTATTTAAGGATAGCAAATTGTCCAAATAAAGTTAACCTATTTTGCTCATTGCTAAAGAGGCCTGGAATTGAGGAACTCAAACTACCAACTGGAACTGCAAAGTGTAGGACTTTTGCTCAAACTTAAACTCAGATGTAATATACTTAAGGTAAAAACAGGATCTGTCTGGTGTCAAAATTTCCTAATATTACAGAAAACCTAGAAGCACAGATGGACTATAGAGTACTGCAAATAAGATACCCAAAGCTTTATCTTAAATACCTGCCCCTTTTAATCACAAAATAAAGCAATTCTCAATTTTGTTTCTGCTTTGTTCAGTTCCAACTATAGCCTTTTTGACAAAACATTTTCCTATTAACTAAATTGTAAAAAATACAACCAAGCTTGTGCTCATTAAATATACATGTATAAAAAACATACAAAAAGTACAAGATTGATTATGTTAGGAAACTTTTACAGTGTCAACATCCTGTTTTCTCTAAATCTTTAGTCAAGGGCCAAAGGTCAAATCTTTCTGTGCACAAAAACTCGATGTGACTGAACTCCTGAATTCAGTGTCATGCCTAAGCATGCTATGCACAGAATTTTATTATGCAGTCCTCAAAAAAAAAAGACAAAAAAAGGAAAAAAAAAGGAAAAAAAACAACCAAAAAACAAAAAACCAACCCAAAAACAAAACCAAAAACACACCACAGGACAAAAAGTTCTTCGTAAATCAAATTCTATTTGTGAATTCAGCAAAATAATTTCTATAAAATAAAACAGCAAAATATTTAAATAGAATAGGGTGGACTGTATCTGCAGGGGTATTTGGTTTTTAGACAGGTTCCAAAAATTACACACATTCAAGTTACCAATTCTCTTTTAAATACAGTATTAACTGATGAGTTCCTTATCTTTAATTAAATCTTTATGCTGAAATTATGATACCTCAATTAGATTGACTAACCAGTAGTTTCCTTTTTAATCAAGACCCTGCTTCGAACATTCAAAGTTTTGGAATAATGGAAAAGGAGCTAGGACAATTCTTGCTTTCAAGTAAAACTGTGCCTTGAGCAGAAACTCAGCTAGACATCTTGGTGCAGTGGTGCTCCAAGTACTGTGGGATTCTGGTGACTTCCACTTCACTGGGGTCCAGCAGAAGGAAAGTTTTAGAAGATTCACCTAATAAGCTCTACCAAAGAAACAAAACAAGCACACCAAATACAGTCTTCTATTATGCTCCAAGCATCCTGGCATAGCAAATTTTTGCATATTTGTTTTAAATCTTTAAAAATTCCCATTACTGAAATTTCTTTATCCCACCCAGAGATCGAACTGTCAAACATCAGACATAAGCAACATGTGTGTAACTGAAAACCGCCTGTTTATCATATCACATTTCTCCCCTTGTTTTATATTTATATTCTAGGTGTAAGAAGGAAAAGCTCTGAGCAAATCAGCTGTCACACTGGGACAACTGCTGTCATTATGGTAATTTTTTTCCTCATTGGCTACACTAACCTGGTGTGAAGCCATGCTAAATGTTACAGCATAACTATAGCTTCAAAGTGATTAACCTAATATCAGAATTAAAAAGGCAATGAAAAAGATCTAGAAACAATGTTACATCACCAATTGTCCACATCAACCAAATAATTTAAAGGTTACCAGCCTTACATCATTGCTCATAGTAAAACTGACTCCAGTGGCAAAGAATTAACATGAAACTATTGGTGTGGTTGACATGGATGGGCTCTGTTTTGTTGCTGTTGGTTTATTTTTTTGTTTTTGTAAAGGAGTAGATCCAACTGCCATGAGGCAGGCAACACTGGTTGCAGAGTGCAGTGGGTAGAACAAGAAAATTAACTTGTAGTTTTTGTAGATCTGTGAGTCTCCTCAAGAAAAGTTTCTTGCTTAAGAATTAACAGTCAAACATTAATATACTATATACACCTTTGCCATTTACACATTAGCATCAGGCCATTTATTACAAAACACTATACACTTTCCACTGCAGGCGGGTTATATATTGACAGCAAATTTCTGCAGATAAGACAGTGAATAAACTCTCCACTCCATGTTATGATTAGGAATAGTTTTAAATTATTAGCCAGACACAGAAAAAGGTTGGACTGTAAGGCCTGGGTGCACAGTCTTGATGGAACCAGTTAGTTATGTGCATTTCACTGATCCTTCGTCTGAGGTGGGGATACTTCTTCACTGCCTTCATAATTTTCTTGTGCTCGTTGGCCAGTTCTCTGAGGGTTGTTCATGTGATGTGCTGCTGGGCCTGTATATGGCTGTCCATGCACATGGTTATTCTGAGAGGGGAGAAGAGATCGATGTTAAAACTTTTCATATAGTAAACTTTAAAATCATGGGCTAAAATCTGTGGACACATAAACATTTCTTTTATTCCCGGAACTTACAAAGAGTAAATATCCTTAGGCTAATGGTGAGAAAGAAAAAAAAAAATTCGTTTCAAAGAGGAAGGCTAGAGGGCGCCTGGGTGGCTCGGTTAAGCGACTGCCTTCGGCTCAGGTCATGATCCAGGAGTCCCTGGATCGAGTCCCGCATCGGGCTCCCTGCTCAGCGGAGAGTCTGCTTCTCCCTCTGACACTCCCCCCTCTCATGTGCTCTCTCTCTCTCTCTCATTCTGTCTCAAAAAAAAAAAAAAAAAAAAATCTTAAAAGAGGAAAGCTAGGGACACGTGGGTGGCTCAGTTGGTGAAGTGTCTGCCTTCAGCTCAGATCATGATCTCAGGGTCCTGGGATCCAGGTTCCACATTGGGCTCCCTGCTCAGTGGGGAGTCCGCTTCTCCCTCTCCCTCTACTGCTCCCCCTGCTTATGCTCTCACTCTCTCTGACAAATAAATAAAATCTTAAAAAAAAAAAAAAAAGCTAGCCTAAACGCAAACCCCGAAACCTCAAACAAAAGCAGTGTAGATCTGCATACATCTTTACCTGAAGTGATTTTTAGTGCCCCAAATTATTTAGACCTAAGTCCAACAAATAAGGGATTACAGCCTGTTATTGTTTATTGTCAAAAACACTCACAATATGATTTGTGAGTTAGAACACATTTATTCTGACTCTTCCAAGCACCTGGAAAGCTTCTATATGATAATGACAAATCTGACTGATTGTGGTCATATGAGATCTGCATTAGCAACAACCTTTAACACGGAATGATGTTAATGAAAACAATACAATATTAAAGAAACATGGACGAGCCAGGCATGATTAATATATGAGCTTTCTCAGGGCCAAGGAAAGTAAGTTTCTTCCTTGTGAATTTCATTTCTTAACCCTTTAAACCCATGAACCCTCATTTTTCTGTACATTCCCACCAGTCAATAAGATTTTAGGTCTTTCTATAATTTGTATTATGAAAATATGTTGAATATGCATTTTCTAATTATTGAGTATGCTTCTATTTCCAACTCCCGCCTTTTAAAGTAGGCTCCATGCCCAATCTGGAGCCCAACTTGGGCCTGAACTCACAACCCTAAGATCAAGACATGAGCTGAGATCAAGAGTTGGACTCTTAACCAGCTGAGCCACCCAGGCACCCCTCCATCCTGAAATATAAGAATGTCTTAAATAATGGTTCTGAAAATATGGCTTCCAGACTAGCAGCAGCATCAATTACCTGGGAAAGAAATGTAGATTTTCTGGTTCCACCCCAGACCTAAATGAATCAGAAACTTGCAATCTGTATTGGAACAAGCCTACCAGGGGATTTTTTTTTTTTTTTTTAAAGATTTTATTTATTTGAGAGAGAGAAAACATGAGCAGGGGGAGGGGCAGGGGGAGAAGGAGGCTCCCCGCTGAGCAGGGAGCCCGATGTGGGACTCGATCCCAGGACCCTGGGATCATGACCTGAGCTGAAGGCAGACGCTTAACTGACTGAGCGACCTAGGCATCCGCACCAGGGGATTTTGATGCTTGTTCAAATTTGAGCATCACTGCCTCAAAAGATCTGAATTAGTCACCTCTGGGTTTTAGAAAGGTTATCTAAATTTTATTTACTCATCTTACAGGAAATTTTACAGCAATCTATCAAATCCTTGATATTTTTCAACAATCTTGACTGTCACTGAAGTCTTAGGCTATGTAACCAAGAACAATTTCCTTCATTGCCACATCTTCAAGTCTTTGGAATCCATTTGCAGATTCAGCCTAACAGGAAATGTCCTAATCCTTTGTACTAAATATTATCATTTTATGTTGACCTCAACTGCCACAGTTTTACTAAGTCTGAGTACAAATGACAGGCACCTGTTTGACCAGGAAAACACCACAGGGGGAAGTTCAAACACATCACACCGTGACCCTGCCCCAGCTATTCCTCTTTTGTTCATGCTCTAAAGGTAGTCTTGATAATCCCTTTATTACTTTGCAGTCACAACAAAAAATTCAGCCATCCTTTAAATAAAGCATAAAAATTGGTTCTAGGGGATAAAAACACAAACCAACCCCTATTTACCTGTTGATACTGAGATCCAGGTGAATGGGGGTATAATGGGGCATCTTCAGGTGGAGGTGACTCATGCTCATCTGGGGCATCTTGGTCATCTGGCTCCTAATTTTAAATATTTAAAAATAAACAATTATGTAGGCAAATTCATGTTTGAGTTTTTTGTATTTGAAATAAAATTTTAAAAACCTACAAAACTGACTCACAAGTTTCCCTCTACAGAAGACAAATTGAAACAGATGAAAAAACCTGATTTGGGTTCTCTTCAGAAAGACATTTCAGACAGTTTCAGAAATTTCTCTAAAAGGCTTTCTCATTAAGATTACATATAGTAAACACTAAAACAAACAAAACCTAAACAAAATTTCTTCGACATTATCATTAATACATAAACACTGGCCTATAAAGTAACAAATTGTTTTCCTTTTTTTTTTTTTTACCTCCTCTGGACAGAGTTCACAAGCTTTTGCAAGTGTCATCCTAGCACTATGTGATCTCTCCAAGAAATAACCATTTGATGTTTCATTGCTCTGCACTGGAGGAGACCAGTTGTTGTAAGTGTACTGAGGGTTGCCGGTGTATGGTCGTCTTTCAAGTTCATCTCCAAGCCATTCCACTGCCCAGGTCCACTTTCTTTTAAGATCTCCGTTGCCCTTCAAAAGAAAATAAAACCATGTATGGAAAAGGTTTTGGAATACTTCTTAAAGTTAACTTAAAATAATAACTCCAAATTCTCCTTATTCTTTTCTTTAAAATGGAATCCCTAATTCTGATTGACTTCTACAAAATTGTAAGAAAAAACACTCACCTGCAGAATCTGGTAAGCAACAGGACAATTGCTAAAAAGAGCTACCATACATTTTATACACTGGTATGCTCTTTTTTGATAGTGATTCTTAGAGCGCTGGATTGTGTCAAACAGCCCATCTCGGTCATCTGGGATTCCTTTAAGTGCGTTATGAATTCTGAAAAAGAACCAAATATAAAATTAAAACTTGTAAAATCAAATAGCAGCCAACATTTACTGAGTGCCCACTATGTGCCACTCAATAAAGATCCTGGATGTCATGTCATCTAATGCTGGACAGCAGGTAGTTATCGAGCCTCTGCACAGGTTAAGGAGAGGGGCGCAGAGAGGTCAAACAGCTTGCCCAAGGTCATACAGCCACCTAGCAGTCTGTGCTCTTACCAACTTGTTACCAATCCAAAATGATTTTGCTAGGTATGTAATTCAAAGACACTACCAGAAGTGATTTGAGGACACCAAGAGTAATACAGACAAAGTCAACTAACAACTAAGTTTATGACTGCTGTACCTAAGAGTTTGCTTCAAGTCAGTTCCTTTTATAAAACTGCATTTCGGAAAGTAAGTAATCTGTTGACTATGAAATGGTGATATAATTTGGAAGTACAAAACGAACCTGAATTCTAATAATGAGCTATGGCAAAGCAATTTTCACCATTACTATAATATAGCTGATTGGCGAATGATTGATGATTTCCTTTCAGTTCTTGCCAAGCCTAACAGAATAATATATAATCAGTGATTTCTTGTTCTCCCCAATAAGCAATTTAAAAAAAGGACTGTAGGGGCAAACTGTGCCTGTTTCCTTTGTGTTAAAAGCATCACCTGCCAGTAAACAAAATGTGGTATATACACACAGTGGAATATTATTCAACCTTAAAAAGGAATGAAATTGAGACACATGCTACAATGTGTATTAGTTTTTTTTTTTTTTTTTAAAGATTTATTATTTTAGAGAGTGAGCAAGTGAGCAGGGGTGGGGGGCAAAGGGAGAGGGAGAGAATCTCCAGCAGACTCCCTGCTGAGCATGGAGCCCAACGTGGGGCTGGATCTCATGACCTTGAGAGATCATGACCTAAGCAGCTATCAAGAACTGCACGCTTAACTGACTGAGCCACCCAGGCGCCTCTACAACACGTATGAGTCTTAAAAGGCATTAAGTAAAATAAGCCAGATAAAAGAGGATAAATATTGTACGATTCTACCTATATGAGGTACTTAGAATAGGCAAAATCGAAGAAAAAAATAAGTTACCAGGAGTGGGGGGAAAAGGGGAATGGGGAGTTATGGTTTAATGGGTACAGTTTCAGTATGGGATAATGAAAAAGTTCTGGAAATGGATGGTGGTGATGGTAACATAGTATTATGAGAACATACTTAATGCCACTGAATCATACACTTAAAATGGCTAAAATGGTAAATTATGAACATTTTACAATTTGACAACAAAAAATAATAAAAAATTTACCTGCCTGCAATTCTACTGAGGTATATCCAAGAGAATTGAGAACAGATATTTAAAAACAAATGACATGTACATGAATGTTCACAGCAGCATTATTCACAATTGCCAAAAGGTAGAAAACAACCCAAATGTCTAACACAAAAGGACATTTTGTATGATTCCATGTATCTGACGAAGTGCCCAGGCAAATTCTGGACATTGTGCCTAGCCTATGGTCAGGCAAATCCATAGAGACAGAGCAGATTAGTGGTTGCTGGGGGATGGGAGGTAAAATAAGGAGTGACTACTTAATTGGGTATGGGGTTTCCGTCTGGAGTGATGAAAATGTTCTGGAATTAGAGTGGTAATGGTTGTACATTGTGAATGTACGAAAAGCCACTGAACTGTATTCTTTAAAGTGATTAAAATGGTGAGTTTTATCTCCATAAAGAAACATTACCTGTGTAGTCCATAATTTAAAAATAAACCAAAAACCTTATATACCATAAATTTTATTTAATAGAATGTTCCAAATCAAAATGCAAGCTTTTTTTGCACTGCATGCATTCATAAGATCTTTTGTTTGGAAATCGTGACCCCAGCTATTTTGCAACGTTTACTAATTTCAGACCAATCATACAAGCCTCTTGCTGTTTAATCTGAAACACTTTAGTGTATATTGTTTTTACCTTCAGTTTTGTCAAGTGATAATGAAGTGTTAAGCCATTCTTTCTGCCACATCACATTTTCTTCCCATTAGTTTTAACTGTTTTCAAATACTATTTTTATCTGTATCATCTTTGCCTGCCTTGTTCTCCAATGCCTGGTAGTGCCAAGCACATGGTAGATACTCCATAAATATTCAAACAATGCTTATCGAATGAACCAAAAGCTCACTATGAGAAAGTTATTTTCAAGCTTGGGCCAGTGATTCATAATAACAATACCTTACTAATCTCATTACACAAAAGTCAACTGTCCATATTTAATCCAGCACATGTGCCTTTACCATTATCGCTTGCTATAATGAATCAAGAGAGCTACGATATAACCAACTGGTTTAATGCTGTTAAGTGCTTACAATATTTTTTAAATGAAAAGAGGAAGTTAGACTCCATTAAAAACTTTTCTTTTTTAGGGGGAGGGAAGGACAAATGGAGAGGAAGAGAGAGAATCTTGAGCACGCTCCATGCCCAGCACAGAGCCTGATGCAGGGCTCAATCTCACAACCCTGAGGTCATGACCTGAGCCAAAATCAAGAATCAGACATTTAACCAATTGAGCCAACCAGGCACAACCAAAAACAACTTTTAAGAAGTCTCAAATCCTATAAAACCATATTGGGAAGGGTACTGGATAGTGCTCAAAATATATGGTTATAGTTTGGGAACTATTAAACTTTCTGTCTCATGAAAATTGATTTTTGGTTTGATGCTATTTTTACAACATTAATACAACTTAAATCTATGATAATTTTGGAGATAATTTAGAAATATTCACGAATTCTGACATTTGCAATCTCCACTAAGACTCAAAATTTTAAGTTTTAAGCATTTTGTCGTTACAGAGCTTGCTTTCAAGTTGCTGCTTTAATTACTGTATTGACAGACATAACATATATATATATATATATATATATATACACACATATAAATTTTGAACTGTTTCTGAAAATCAAGTATTATACTATCATTCATGTGGGGAGGGAAGTTATAAAATCTGGCAAAGTTGTTAACTAATTCCATACTTCACCATCACCTAGAATTCTTGGGACTAAAAATAATATATTAAACTTTATGGCAAAAAACGAGATGGAGGAATTCTGGAGGAAGCCTGAGGGATAGTTATGCTGGATATCCTCAGTTTAAAAAAAAAATTGCACTCAAATTCTCATATACTGAAAAACTAAAGTTGATGTTCATTATTCACAGATTCCGTGTTTGTGATTTTGCCTACTTGCTAAACTTTATTTGTAATGGCAAATACATGGTGCTTTGGTGGTCATGTGCTGAGTGGAAAAAAATTTGGACCAAACATGTATGTTCCCAGTTTGATTCAGCTCATACTGCAAAGGAGTGTCCTTCTTGCTATTTAGTGAAACCCTTCCCACACTTTGTGCTTTTTGTTGATTTCATGGTTTAAAATGGCCCCCAAATGTGTAGTGAAGTGCTACCTAGTATTCGTAAGCCCCAAAAGGCTTTGCAGAGAAAACACTGCGTTACACAAGTTATTCTGAGTTCACTGTTAGAATCAGCAATGTACGGTAAATAAGCTGTCTTTAAAAAGATAAACACACATTTAGAAAAAGGTTATGATAATTGGTTGACAAAAATGTAACCAGAGACTTGCAGGAACTTAACCCTGTATTTCCCCTAGGAGCAATGGCTCCGCATTCCCTCATTCAGTGTTCACAGCGACTTTATAGAATATAACTACCATGAATAACGGGAAGTGACTGTACTTTCTTACCTAAGGACTATTTTTAGATAACCAAATGTGACCTCATATGACTCATTCTAAAACGAAACTAATCTTAAAATAACCCTAGCACATCATTAATGAAATTAAGATATTTACAAAAAGCCTATGCTAACTGTCCTTAATTAAAAAAAAAAAAAATTGAAAGCCAGAAGTATTGCATGGGCAAGAATAAAAAGTGCCATCAAGTGAGGGAAGGGGGATCTTTTTATTTTTTTTTATTTTTTTTAAAGATTTTATTTGAGATTGAGAGAATGAGAGAGAGAGAAAGCACATGGGGGGGGAGGGTCAGAGGGAGAAGCAGACTCCCTGCCGAGCAGGGAGCCCGATGCGGGACTCGATCCTGGGACTCCTGGATCATGACCTGAGCCGAAGGCAGACGCTTAACCATCTGAGCCACCCAGGCGCCCGGAAGGGGGATCTTTTTATTAATTCTTAAGCTTTTAAGGTAAAACCATTATTACATCTCCAAGAGGTAAAAAGAAAAAGAAAAAGAGAGGAAAAAAAGCGCTGACTGGCAATTTCAGTTAGTTTAAAAGTTGGGCAAGTAAAAACGAGGATCTACCTGTGAGTCTGCCAGGAGTCCTCAATCAGTAAGATCTGCAAAAGCAGATCCAAATAGGGTCGGAGTTCGTAAGTGTAGGAATATGCAACCTAAAAACAGGAAAAGACCCAGTGAATAACTTACTTAAAGGAATAACAAATCAAATTAGAGAGACATAGGAATGTTTATTCTCCTTTAACCTGCCAGAGAAGTTCACTGAGGACAGTAGATGAGAACTGAGGATTCTCCCAGCAGCAAAAACGAAGCAATTTGACAGTTTCCTCTGAGTTACTGCAGTCCTCAATGATTTTCTTCACATAACTTGTTCTCACAAATAAAATGTCTGCCACATTCTGCTGAATTGGCATTATAGGTTGTGATAAATTAGGATCACCAAAAGGATTGGGAAGAGGAGGATTACCTAGAATACAGATTTGTCATCAATGAAAAACTAATAGGCTTCTCCACAATAAAATAACATAGCTTTCACCATAGAAAACAGCTTATGAATTTTGTGTTTTAGAAAAATAACATTTTAAATCAATATTCCTAAGTACCATGAAGAAAGTAGTACTAGGCATTATAATGATCAGATAGACCAAGATGATAAAATGCGAACTTTAAATGCCAACACTGGCATTTACCTATATAAAAAATTCTTAAATTACTTCACTTAGTATCAACCTCAGAAGCAAGTAGACGTGAAAAAGGTATAGAACCCAAAATATTATAGATTGTCACACTCTTGGTTTTATATTTAAACATCTTCAGAATTACTTTTAACTGGGTACTACGAATGGCCAGTAGTATTTTATTTTTTTTGGCCAGCAGTATTTTAAAACCAATGTAAAGGATGGAGCATTCGACTTTACCATTGATTGAAGACTGCATTCTTGAAGAGACATTGCAACAGCGGATCAGCTGTGACACAACTGAGTACAATTTGCCTAATTCAGCATACTGGTATTTGATTGGAGGACCTGGACCTTCATCTAAGGACACCAGCATAAAGGTAGCAGGTACATTCAATTTCAGAAGTTGTGTCTTCTCTGCCACACCTTCCATGAAGCAAGCAGCGGGACGAGGGGGAGGAGTTACAAAAGAGAAAAGAATTAGGATGATAAGGGCTTCATAATAAAGCACTTATCTAAAATATTTTTCTATGATTTTTATAATCAGAAAACCACTCTTACTTAGCATTCAGGGAATGATTTAACCAGAACAGAAAATCTCCGTGGTATAATTAAAGTTTTAAAATGGTCAAAAACCATGACATTCCAGTCAAACCAGGCATAAAGAAAATGAATACTTTCTATGGCCCGAGAGTCTGGGGGACTACCCTAGACTTCAATCCTCATCGTAAGGGAGGATGATGAAAACTCAGTGAGAAATAAGAATTCTTTTATACACTGCCCTCTCTATTTTCTTCCACAGCTAAGTTACTTGAAAATCATGCCTAAACTCGGTGTCATGTTTTATTTTCCTATACTCCTCAACCCATGCCAGTTTGGTTTCTGCCCCCCTTCCTGGGGTAAAGCTAAGGAATAGTTCTAAATCGTAACTGCTTCCTTTCCTTCTTGGATTCCTCTTTTCCTTTCTTTCAACCTCTTCTCCTTGGTCTTTTTGAGTTTTCCTTCCTCTTTGAAAAATGGTTGCTCCTCAAAGTTCCCACACCAGGCTATTGTTTCACACTGTATGCTTTTCCTGGATGATCAAACCCACTCTAACGGCTTCAAGTTCCAGCTATTTTCATTCAGATGATACCAACCAAAGTATTTCCAGTATCTTAAATGTTCTACCGGAACACTGAACATCACTATTTGGGTGTCCAACAGGCTCAAACTCAATTTGCCCAAACTTAACTCATCACTTTACTCCCCTATCCATGTTCTTCCTCCTGTGTTCTCCTCTCTCAGTACATGGCATGGCTATCTACTCAGTTGGAACCCTGGGCATCACTTAACATCTCTTCTGTGTTCCTCCCTCAATACCCAATCACTAAATCCTACTGACTTTACTGCTAATAAAAAGCATCAGCAACTGTCCACTTCTATCTCCTCCTCACTGCCAGTTCCCCAGTACTGGCCACAATGATCTTCTGCTATAAATCATTTTAACAATCTCTAGTGTTATTCCCCTGAAATCCATTCCACACTGTAGTCCGAGTGATCTTTCTAGAAGGTATGTCTATTAAAAACTCTACAATGGCTCATCAATGCTCTTAGGATAAAGTCTAGAATCCCTCATGAGGCTTGCCAGAATAGCTTGATCAGAGATCATTTCTAGTCTGAATAACTTTCACTTCCTCCACACACTGAGTTTATTCCAAAGTCTTTGCATCTGCTGTTCACTCTGGATAGAAACCCCAAACAACCAATTCCCACATCAACTCCCCCATTAAGTCCCTGTACTCACCAAATCTGGTCTGGTATCCCTATTATATACTACCATAGCACTTTGTATTTTTCCCTAGTATAGTCATTAACATACTTTATGGCAGTTATCTTTTTATTTGCTTCTATACCCCATTAGACAACAGACTGTCCTTTTTGTTGTCATTTTCCATAAGTATAATAAATACAGGCCCACAATCCCTTATCTGAAATCCCGAGATTCAAAAAGCTCTTATCATAAATATAAACAAAATTATTTCATAAAGTTGGTGTCAAAACATGTTTGGTGGAAAAAGGTGGCCTGAACTGAGAAGAGGCTATTCATAGTCTTCATTTATCCCCTCTCAGGGTGACTATTCATGCTTGACTGTAGAAATATTAATGTGTATGATTATAAGGTGCTGTCTTGGACCCTGCTATAGGGATATCACATAATACATGGTATATACACTGCCTTACCTTTCTTAAATCTAAACAATTCTGAACCCCAAAGCATAAGTAGTATACTGAAGTTTATGGATCTGGGGGTGCCTGGGTGGCTCAGTCGGTTAAGTGTCTGCCTTCCAGCTCAGCGGGGAGTCTGCTTCTCTCTCTCTTTCGCCCTTTGCCCCTTCCCCCTGGCTTGTGTTCTCTCTCTCAAATAAATAAAATCTTTAAAAACAATAAATAAAATTTATGGATATGTATTTGCCTTTAGCAGGGAAATCTTAATTAAATTACATTACATGCCAATGATGTATGCTTTGTGAACAGGCAGTATCTAAAAAGGGAGTTGAACAGAATAGGATTTTTGTGAATGCCTAAATTTGGTATTTCTAACTTTGAAATACAGATTCCACTTGCTTGTTTGTGCAGTGAATATTCTCTCCCTTTTCAACTACAAATAACCAAGCACCTCTAGTATGGAAAGGTAAAGGAAAAGACAAACTACAGAGAAGTAGAATGTTGCTTATGTTAAAAGGGCCCCCGAGGTAAACTGGTGATTAGTAAGGTCATACACAAAAAATATGGAATGACAGCGATGTTTGATTAGAGAACTTAATCTTGGATAGAAGGTATTTTTTTCTTTTAAACTTTTTTTTTTTTTAAGATTATTTATTTGTCAGAGAGAGAGAGAGAGGCAGAGAGGCAGAGGGAGAAGCAGGCTCCCTGCTGAGCCAGGAGCCTGATGCAGGACTCAATCCCGGGACCCTGGGATCATGACCTGAGCTGAAGGCAGACGCTTAACCAACTGAGCCACCCAGGCACCCCAAACTTTTTAAATTTTTTTTAAGATTTATTTATTTGAGAGAAAGCGAGCACAAGCAGGGGGAAGGGCAGAGGGAGAGAGACGAGCAGACTCTCGCTGAGCGTAGAGCCTAATGTGGGGGCTCAATCCCAGGACCTCGAGATCATGACCTGGCCGAAGTCAGACTGAGCCACCCAGGTGCCCCTCTTTTAAAACTTTTAAATAAGTTATTCAAATTTGGCCAAATATTCATTATCATCACTAAGATCACTAAGATTTTATTTTTATTTATTTTTTTTAAAAGATTTTATTTACTTATTCATGAGAGACAGAGAGAGAGAGAGAGAGAGGCAGAGGGAGAAGCAGGCTCCCAAGGAGCAGGGAGCCTGATGCGGGACTCGATCCCAGGACCCTGGGATCATGACCTGGGCCGAAGGCAGACGCTTAACCATCTGAGCCACCCAGGCACCCGATTACTAAGATTTTAAATGGAATGTCTCAATAAATTAATCATGTTGGGAACGGTGCATTAATACCTGATTGGTAAGGAATTTTTATAATTTTAGGGGTGCCTGGTTGGCTCAGTTGGAAGAGCATGCGACCCTTGATCTCAGGGTTATGAGTTGGAGTCCCACATTGGGCACAGAGATTACTTAAATAAAACTTAAAAAAAAGAAAAAAGAAAAAGAAACTTTAATAAATTATAATCATAGGACATTTATCACCCCAAAGCCAATGAACAAACAGCAAATGACAATGGAAGGATTTTTGATAATATTCCTAACTGTCCATCTTTTCATTCAATAAACATTTACTGAGTGTCACTGTGGAAAAACTCTGATCTCTGCAATCTCATTGGGGAGCAACACAAAAATGTGAACACGATAAAAAAACAGAATAAGTAGAAGACAGCATAACAAACTTTTAAGTATTCTGGGATCACTGATCAGGTGATGTTAGAAAGGTTACTTTGAGAAGGAAAATGTTAAACAGAGGTAAAATATATTATCTGTAATTTTAATTTAGTTTACTTCAATAAAAACTTATGTTCAGACCAAGTCCTTTACCCAAACTTGGGTGAGTATCACAACCATCCAGGGACTTTTTGAAAATGTGGATTCCTTGTGCTAGCTCTGAGAATTCTGATTCAGTTGGTGTGGGATGGGGCCTAGGAATCAGTATTTTCAAATCCAGACAGATCTGCCACCACCGTTTTAGGAGATAAAAACATGATTAAGACACAGATTCTGGGGATGACCGAGTGGCTCAGGTGGCTCAGTCAGTTAAGCAGCCAATTCTTGATTTTGTCTCAGGTTGTGATCTCATGGGTCTCTCTCCCTCTGCCCTTTCCCCTACTTACTCTCTCTTTAAAAAAAAAAAAAAAAAAAGACATGATTCTGGCCTGTGTATACTGCAGAGATACGCCTAAGTAACTATAAAGTACAAGGTGAAAAGTACAGTAAAAAATTTTCACTCAACTTAAAAGACTTTGCCACTTAATAGAATACATTAAAACAGAATTGTAACAATTTAAATTCTTACCTAAATTGGCATACATTACAAACAGATTGAAATACTGCTGCAAATGACGCCCATGCTCTGAAACTTCCCTTCTCAAGAGATTGAGAACTGCCCGTAGTAGGTGATCGCTTAGGCTTAAGTTGTCATAAGCCTGTAAAGGATACAACATTGGCTATTTTCCAGTGACAAGATATAGGAAAAATATAATTCTATTTGCATAAAAAGGGGACACAGACAGACACACCCACACCCATGTTGAATATAGGCAGAAATTTTTGGAAGGACTAATCACACAACAAACAATTAAAAAGGGTTGCTTTTTAGGAAAGGGAATGAAGATCTGAGGTAGATTTCATCTAGAGCCTTCATGATGTTTTAATTTTTAATAAATGGAAGTCCATTAAAAAAAACTTTACAAATAATATACATAACCATGTGTAAAATTAAGCCACTGCTTCTAACTGAACGAACAAAGAAAATTCTGTTGTTTTTAAAGAGCTAATAATTGTTATTCACTGCTGTGAAGTATTTTTACTGAACTCCCAGATTATCAGATGGTGTGGTGTGTGTGTGCACACATCTGTTCATAAGGTAAACGTTATCAAACAGATGTACATATATTTGTGACTTCAACTTTCAGGCAAGAGATTTGTAAGTATTTAATCACTAAAAAGAAAACAAGGCAATTACCTGACTAGAAGGTCCGGGAGATGCAAAAGGTGAAGGACATGGCCCATCTTGCAAGGAAAAATGTGCAATAAAAACTATAAGTTTTGCAAATGCACCCCTTACTTCTGCACTGGGGCACTCCAGAAGGTATTCAGAAAAGCGATTTGAAACATTAAAAAGGACATTGTGAGCAAACCAAAAACGGACATTCTTGCTGTGACGAAGGAGAATACACAATGCATCATACCTAAGACAAAACAAAAAATTTATGAATGGCAATTCAATGATGTGTTTCGTATATAGTACAGATATGGGTCTCTATGAACCAAATAAAAATCAAAGACCTTCTTTTACTACTGGAGTGAGAGAACCAGCAATGGTTGCTTCTAGTACCAACATTCAATGACAAAACAATCACTCCCCTAACCTTCCCTGAACATCTTACCACTGGATGAGTACATAAAAATTGTTCAATCAAGGTATTATAATGGCCTCTATACTTTCACAATTTGAAACTTAGGACACTCATTTTGTTACGTTTTTAATCTATGGCAAAATTTAATCTAGGGAAGCTAAAACCACTAACTTCTGGATTAAGTAGCTCAGACTTTTAAGTATCATCCTATAATCTCTTGTACACGGATGTCAAAGATAGGATATAAGGTAACAGAAGCAGAAGCCAGCTTCAGAACAATGAAAGGTCATGTTTAACCTAAGTAATTATTTTTATATGATTTCTCTCACTACTGCTATCAAGAGTTTTTGTAGTCTGCATTTCAGATCTGAAAGAAGACTGTTGTGATTTGAAAAAAATAAAGCAATATATTAAAGAACCAAACTAAATGCTAGGATAATAGGAATGAAAACCCAAAGCAATGTACCAATCACTGGCAGAGCCACGGACGATTTTCTTGGTGTGAAATCCTGTGGTAAAAAGGAACCTAGCAGCAAGCTGAATACTAATCATAGTGATTTCTTCTGCTTCAGGCAACAGGTGATCTTGCCCTATAAAAAAGGCAAATACATTTTTTTTAAAGGCAAATACATTTTTTTTAAAGGCAAATACATTAAAAAAACAAAAAAACAAATTTCTATGTCTAAGCTCCATTTTCAAACAAGTCTGCATTTCCACTGATTTCTAGAAGTCCTAACTTTGCTAACTGCCCCCCCGTGCCTACTTATGAAGTAATTCTTAGTTCAGTAAAGCATGTTTCAAACTAATGCTTGAATCAAAAACAAATTGTTAGAATAAACAAAAGCTCCCGTTTCCAAACAGCAAGACAATATATACTGCTCAAAGATAACTGAAATATGGCTTTAAAACAGCCCAAAGTAAAAATGCAAACATGTTGATGCTTGCTAAGAAATCTTGCAAGTACAGTAAGAGTTATGCTTCTACTAAGAAGCTAAATTTTTTATACTTACCTGGCGGAGGATTTAAGTAAACACCATTACACGTAAGCAGCTTTTTCATGAACTGGAAATACTCCAGACTGTACTGCATTCGGTTATGCATGAATTGCACATTCTGCTTCCGTACACTTCTCTCAATGGCTGATGGCATAATAATTTGATGGGGTCTTGTGGTGATAGCAAGCTCAGATATGTATCTTATCAACTCATCACCCTGGTCTATGGTATCCAGTCGTTCGTAAAAAAGTATGTAAGCATTCCACCACCTTTTCTGGCGCCTGTATGACATGCGCTTCATCATGTGATCAAATACCTCTCCCATGTACTCTCCACCAAAACACTGGTTTTTCATTTCTTCATCGTCATCCATTTTACACTCTGTTACATCTCCATCATCAAATTTATACCAGCGATTTCTCTCACCATCTCCACCATTCCTCTGAATGATGTAAGAATAATAATGTCCCCCACTTGCTTGGCCACTGTGTACCAGCACACCCACAAGTCTGTATTTCGTGCTTCCTGCCGTCTCACTTTCAGACTGCTCATTCTGCTGTATCAACTGACTTTCTGGGTTTACATTATCTCCTTCCAGCTTTGCAACACCTGCGACTGTGTAAGGTTCCATGTCCAGCTCTCGAGGAAATTCAAAATAATCATTGAATTTGATTGCACATTCTCTTTCCCAGTCATAGTCGAATCGTTTCAGTTGGATAGCAAGAACGGGAGGTAATTTTTTAATTAGCAAGCGCTTTACGGTATCAACCTAAAATAAACAGAGCAAGTTACTAGATGTTCTTTTATAATCCACTGCATAAAACAAACTATAAGCCTATATTACTAAATTCTCATGAAGACTAACTGAAGGTTACAAGTGTAAACAAACACTCAGCAATGAGTATAATCAAGGTTATTCTGTCCAGGTGGGCATTTCAAAAAATGCTAACTAAAACTAATAATATGGAAATAGTTGATGCCATTTGCTACAAATTGCAAAAATTAGTGACACAGATATTACTCATTGCCTGGATTCTATACCGTCATTGCTATCTAACCACTGTTACTTGTTTGGTATTTACTGTTAGGCTAAATGAAGATGTGCTGAAGAAATACAATAGCAGCTAATATCTATTGGGCCATTAGGTGCCAAGTAATATGCCAGGTGCTGCCCAAGGAGTAACACATGTAATCCTCACAAGCTCCCAGGGAGGAGCTCCTGGTGGTAATGGGGAGCAGCAAGAGAGGGACTGAGTCACCGGCCTTGGTCTCACCGGCCTTACAGCTCGCATCTCAACCTCTAGACTTTAATACCTCTTTAAGTGGCGTGTAAATGTCAAAATGATACAGGTGACTCGGAGGTGAGAGAATCTGGGAGCCCAGGAAGATACACGTTATTTACTGTCTGTGTAAATGGTCTCTCCCTAAGAAGCGTTAAGTGCCCTGAGATAACTATCAGGTGGGCCTAAAAATCTGATCCTAGTGGTTTAAAAACACAGGTGGTAGAAGAAATCTTATGTGACCAAACCGAGTAATGAAGGTTTCAGTAAACTTCTTGGTCCTTACAAGTAACTGGATAGGATAGGAGAAATGTTTTCCTGTCAGCGCTATAGCTCTGAGGGTTCAAAAGCAGTCTGGCTGGATACGGACGGCAAGTGTGTGTCTGTGGAGCTCCGACAAGAGAAGGTGATAGTAAGCTATTATGACTTCTAAGATGTTCACTCTTACTTACCCGTTTCCCTAGCCCTGCTGGCACTACCTTCTCTTAATCTTCTTTCCCTGAAAAATCTTAATCTTTGTACCAGTTATATTAACTACCTTCTGCTACCACTATAACAAAGCAGGGTAGGGAATAAAAATAAAAAACAAAAGCAACCAACTTTCAAATCCATGAAATTTAACCATAGTTACTTAAAAAAACCCTGGATAATTCATACCTTTTTATTGCATTTTTCACAATGATACGCATTTGCACCTTCTAATAAATCTCCTTTGACATACTGTTCCAAAGAATCAAGAAGATTTTGGTGATTTCTAATGTCTACATTCAAAGTCGTAAAAGATTCTTCACACTCGTATCTAAAGATATTAAGAAATAAAAAGAATTTTAGTTTTCTAAACATTTTTAGTTACAGACTTAATGAAAACTGCATTTGCAATATTTATAATATGACATGAAACCCGAAATCATAGAATGCTACCAATAAATGACACATTTATTTGGCCACTTACCTAGTGTTGGGCACTACATTAGGTTGTTTACAGCCCATATATACATCAGGTTCTTTGTCTTCATGACAAACCTGCTAGAGAAATAGCACCACCTCCACTTCAGAGATGAGAGAACTGGGGTTTGGAAAGGTTAATTTGGTCAAGATTACTAGGCAAAATCGTGTTTTGAAGCCAGGTCTGTCTTGCTTCATGGCTTAAGCTCTTTACAGTCTACCGTGCTGCTTCCACTATCATCTAGTTAGGCAGTAATTCATGCCAAGGCCAAAGCATGAATTCATCAACTTCTGAAAAGGATATTTTAAACCATTAAATGGGCTGGATTTTTAAATGGTCCTTCTTCTCCGTAATGGAAACCTTAATAAAGCCCAAGTTTGAACACACCAATCAAGAGGAGATAAGCAATCTGAGCAGGAGCCAGAATCCCACCTTGTGGCAATTTTCTACCCAGGGAAATTTCAGATTTCTGAGGAGACACATTCATAAACTCAGAACATGGGAAGTGGGAGAATACACTCTCAACCATCAAATTTATTCATTCAACAAATATATTTGGAGTGCCTTCCATGTGTAAAAGTACTCCGGGATAGTCAATGTTGAAGACAAGTCCCTCATATTTGGAGCTTTTCAGTTTAGCTATGGGAAAAAAGGTACACAAAGGTATTTGTAAGTGGCGTGAATGGAATATGAAGTAGGTATAAAGCATATTGCTAATATGATCAGGGAACAACCCATAAAAAAGAAAAAAGAAGTCAGAACTTAGGACTTCACTTAAAAAGTAGGACATTCAAAGATGAAAGAAAGCCAACAAAATTTTTTCTGTAAAAGGCCAGAGAGTCCCTATTATAAGCTCTTTTTGGGGATATGAGGTCTCTGTGACTCAGCTATGTTATAGGGAAAGCAGCTAGAGAGTAGGTAAAGAGGTAGATACGTTCCAAAAAAACTGTTTTTTATAAAAACAGATGCGTGGCTGGATTTGACCAATGGTGCATAGTTTGCTAACTCCTGATCTAGACAAATAATGCCGTAAAACAGATAGACTTGGGACTCTTTATGTAACTTCTGGCATGTAATAAGAACAGGACTTTTGGGACCTTAATTATGATCATGCTCTCTGGACATTTTCACCTAGCAAAGAAAAGCAGTAATTTCCAAATGACTCTGAAAACGGTCTAAAACAAACCAACAAGGACTGGTTAGAATAAATGACCAAAAAGTCGGCTTATTTTATCAGTAATCGAAAATCAAGAGGTTAAAAGTGACAGTTTAATTGTCCACCTAATACAAAAGGTCTTTCAAAATGACCAAAACTTGTGCGGGCTATGTGAATAATTACATAGTCTTGTTCTGAATGAATGGTTTAACCTCACGGTAATTTCTCATTTATATAGCATTACCTCTCTGCCAATCATTTCCCTTTGATCAAAAATGAAACACTCCCACCAGCCATATACACACACACCTCATGCCTATATAATACTGTTTGAGCTTGTAGAAAATACTATCGTACTGTGATATTTTGGTGAAAATTTGATTTCAAACCAACAGTAATCAGTAACATGCAAGAGAAATTCCAAAGTAAAACGTCCATGTAACAGGCATAAACCTGTATCTACTAGTAGGGAATTTTAATAGTCGTTTAACTATTAGAGTCCTTTTTTTTTTTTAAAGATTTTATTTACTTATTTGACAGAGAGAGACACAGCGAGAGAGGGAACACAAGCAGAGGGAGGGGGAGAGGGAGAGAGGGAGGGAGAAGCAGCCTTCCCGCAGAGCAGGGAGCCCGATGCGGAGCTCAATCCCAGGACTCTGGGATCATGACCTGAGCCGAAGGCAGACGCTTAACGACTGAGCCACCCAGACGCCCCTTCAGTAAGAGTCCTTAATCAATTTCCCTTTTAAGTCAAAAACACAATTTGTTCACTCAACTCTTGCTATGTTTTTTGTTGAAAAGATACCTTAAGGATAATGATCACAATCAATGCTATTTTAAAAATTAGTTATTTCACTTATATATGGAAATTGTACTCCATGTCTGTCATCTTCTAAGCTTAATGTATTTGTAATATTTTAATTGCTTTAACTCTGAGATAAAGGGCAAATTTAGGAGTAACACCTGTGAGCTATATATGCAAAATGCCATTTGATTTCCCCAGTAATGATCATACATAAGAGGAGCCAAAAGTTATTTGATGAAACCAAACCCCCCAAAACCAGAAAAACAAACAAAAACCTCCACGAAAACCACCACCACCACCACACACAAAACCCAAACCCACAACAGTAAGGTATGCACAGTATATAATTCATCCAGTCTCAGGTATATAGTTAAATTGGTGGCATACTCCACTTATGTACATAACTACTAATAAATATTTTATTTTTCTTAGTAAATAAACAGTAGAACTTTAAACATATAATCAGCACTTACCTATGTGGGCAGCCTTGGCAAATCTTCTGATCAGCAAAGGAACCTCCTAAGACTTTACTTAGCATAGCTGGATGTCCCAAGGCTTTCAGAGCTTCATCTAAACTATCCACCAATGAATTAAAAAACTCTAAAGCATCATGCTGTTCACGCAGATTAACAGGCTCACCCCAAAGCCTAAGAAATGAATGGAATAAAATACAGTACTTTCTCGGGAAAAAAAGCAATACAACCACAAATAACAATATAGAAACAGATTTTTTCCCCCCTCAACTACATGAGGAAGTAGAAAAAAGTAAACGTTCTTTATGTATAGAGTGCAGTGAGAGAGAAAGTGAGGCTCATAGTACAAGTAGAGCTCCAGTGGGGAAGAGTCACCATGAAACTGCTGGTGTGGCTGATGGATACCATGGCTCCAGCACCGGCGGTTGCTTTAGGTAACCTGGTACACATGCATTTTCAATCTAGATGAAGACACTACCTGGTGGATCTCACTCTTATGCAGGTGTTATAATCTTTGTTTCATGTTGCTTAAATTTCAGGTTATAGATACAGCGCCAAGATTTATTTACTCTGAATTAAATTGCTTTTACCAAGTGAAAACAGAAAGCTTTAACTTTGGAGTTCATCTCTTTTGAGTAATCTGAGGACTTAAGTTAGACAAATCAATTTTGAGAAAATAAACTATCAATTGTGTATACCAAAAAAATGAGAATTGCTAAAATCCTAGGCACTGCTGGAAACTATCAGTGAAATCTAATTTTGTATTTACAGAGTGACATAAAGTATGAATGCATTCTAAGTGAGAGATATGACACATGTATTTTAAATATGCTTGAGGAAATGTCTTCTGATCAATTTTTGTAACACTTTTTCTATGTAGCAAATAATCTCGTTCTAATTATGTATTATATTTAAAAAAAAAAAATTTTTTTTTTAAGTAGGCTCCATGGAGACCAACGTGGGGCTTGAACTCACAACCGAGATCAAGACCCAAGCTGAGATCAAGAGTCAGACGCTTAACCGACTGAGCCATCCAGGTGCCCCCCAATTATATTTTAGACTTAAATTTGATACAGTGAGTTTAAAATAAAATATGTCCTTATTTGTTAAAACCAACTTGTTTCATTATTGGAAATGACACCAATCCATTCCATTAATTTTCAGATTATGGTCGATTCCCCATACTTTCAAACATGTAGTCAACCATTAATTACAAAAGGGGAAAGATGAACAGATCTGTTAAGACACAAGTTAATATCACTAATAATCAGACAAACTGATACCATGTATCTCCCAATGCAATGCAATGAGGAGCACGTAACACCACCTACTGTGGTTTTCTTGCCAAAAACATTTAACCTGAATCTAATCATGAGGAAATAACCACACAAATCAAAATGAGAGCTGTTCTGCGAGACAACCAATCTAGGCTCTTAAAAAATTTCAGTGCCATACAAGTCATGACAAGTTAGGGAGATTATTTTAAAGAAAACTAAAGAGGTAACAACCAAATTCTTTTGATTCCTTTCAGGATACCAGTCTGAGACTAAAAAAAAAAAAGTTACAAAGAATATTTTGGGGGAAATCAGAATATACACTGATGAGTATTAGGCATTATTATTTTTTAAAAATATTTAAAGGTAGATAATTTATTTTCCATTCCTTTTTTTAAAGTAATCTCTACATCCAATGTGGGGGCTCAAATTCACGACCCTGAAATCAAGAGTTGCATGCTCTACTGACTGAGCCAGGCACCCCCATTATTAGGCATTTTAAATCAACATTAAATTTCATCGAGTGTGATAATGGTATTATATATAAGTAGGAAAGTGTCTTTATTCTTAGCGGATACATACTGAAGCACATGTAGGTGTGTGGGGGTCAAGTATCATGTTTACAACTATCAACTGGTTTAGAAGAATCAAAACCCAAGTACAGCTGACACTTGAACAACACAGATTTGAACTATGAATCTACTTATACATGGATTTTTCCCCCCATACAGTACCGTAAATGTATTTTCTCTTCCTTTTGATTTTTATAACATTTTCTTTTCTCCAGTTTACTTGATTGTAAGAATGTATTCTTACATGTAATCTATACATATAATACAGATAACATATAAAATGTTAATTGACTGTTTATATGTTATTGGTAAGGCTTCCAGTCAAGAGTAGTAGGCTGTTCAGTTTTAAGGGCATCAAAAGTTACATGTGGATTTTCAAGTGTGAGGGGAATCGATGCCCCTAGCCCCACACTGTTCAAGGGCCAATGGTATACATATAAGCAAACCTGGCAAAATGTTAACAACTGTTAAATCTGTTTAGGGTGTAACATAAAAGGTGACCACTATACTAATTCGTCACCTTTTCTGTTGGTTTCAAATTTTTCAAAATAAAAAATTGGGCATGGGGTGGGGAATGTGGTTCACTAACCCACATGTATTAGAGGAGTATATTGTGTGTCTAAAGTGAAAATCATCCAGAAGTACTAGTCTAGATAAACTGGAAGCTCCACTAGCATAGGAAGTCATTTATAAATAAAAAATGCAAATGTATTGTGGGAAAAAAAACTATTTATAACTGAATGACAAATTTTAAGCTAGAAACACAAAAAGTGTGAGAGTAATTTGGAAGAGGAAGAAGAGAAATGCTGAAAGCCTTATGGCAGAGATGGGACAAACTGGGGAAAGAACTGGAACAGAGAGGAGGGTGAGGGGTGTGCCAGGTGATGGGACAGAAAGAAAGAGTAAAAGCAGAGCTGGGAAGAAGGGTGGTGCATGCAAGCCAGTAGTGTGGATTAAAGCAGGGGACCTAGTTAGGGGAATCAGAGGAATTTAAATGGTTGAGTTCACAGGAAAGCCATTATACTTTAAAGTGGTGGTTTCAAAAGAAATCTAAATAGCATCCCTAGGGAAAAGGGAAGCTGCTCCATAGAAGCAGAGAAGGTAGCCCCGCAGGGTGGCAGTGTCAGGTGACCCTCTGCTTCCCCTGCTCTCAGCTGGCTGGGAGAGACCTTGAAGAGATTCCGAGGAGTATTATTTAAAAACCCACTGCTATGAACGATTAGAGCCTTTCTCATAAACAGTAAAAAGAATTAAGTGGTTGTACTGTGGTATTTTAGTACAGTGCATGACACATAATAGGCAATGATTTAAAAAAGATCAAGATATAACTGAGAATTTTAATTTAAAAAAAAGGTATTTACCCCATCTTTCCTAGAAAATTGTACATCAGGATAGCAAAGTTGTTGTTTGCAGGTAGATCTATTCTTGCTAGTAAATGCAAGAATGATAAAATGAGACTACTACCATTCTGTAACCCTGGTGAAATACTTGTCAATGATGATCAATGGCTGTGATCATGGGATACAGACATCATGTACCTCTCCCTACAGATGTAAAAATTACCGTCTATAAAGCTTTGCCTATCATTTCAAAAAAAAAAAAGAGAAAAACGCCTCGATCTCATCAAGTCTCTAAATCTCACTCCTTATTTATAGGAAATACAGTGGACTGAGGAAAAAAGAAAATAAAAAATACCACAGGGATCCTATCAATAAAATCCAGATGGTGGGAAACTTTACAGGGTAAACTACCTACTTTTCCCCAACAAGCTGCAAGGGTGAAAACGATGAGAATACAGAAGAGTCATCAACATTTGAGGTGTATGTACTTCATATGGATCCCGATTTCAAAAAAATAGATTGTAAAAAATAATTGTGAGAAAATCTGAACACTGACAAGGATATTAAGGATTTTTAAAAGACATGGTAATAGTATCATGGTTATGTTTAAAAAAAGCCATCAGAGATACATACTGCAATTATTTATAGATATATTTATAGATATATTTATTATTTATATATAACGTGTGAGATTTGATTGATTCAATCTGGAAAGTAGATGGGAATGTAGTCTAAACAAGACTGGGCATGAGTCGACAACTGCTGAGGCCGGGGGATGAATACATAAAGGGCTCACATGGTTCTCCCTACTTCTCTGAGTGTGAGAAGTTTTCAAAATAAAAATTATTTTTTAAAGAAGATTTTATTTACTTGACAGAGCGTGAGAGAACATAAGCAGGGGGAACGAAGAGGGAGAAGTAGACTCCCCGCGGAGCAGGGAGCCCAATGCAGGGCTGGATCCCAGGACCCTGGGATCGTGACCTGAACTAAAGGCAGACGTTTAACTGACTGAGCCACCCAGGTGCCCTCAAAATAAAAAATTATTAACATCTTAAGAGACTGAAGTATGCTGCCTCTCCAAACTATGACACTTTCTACCTGACTTTGAAGACAATAAGAGAAAAACACTAAGAAGTAAAGTTTATTATAGCTAACCCCTGTGGTAGAAACTCTGCCTGTAACTTTTGACTCCCCAAAACTTAACTACTAAGAGCCTACTGTTGACTGGAAGTTTTATCTATAACATAAAAAAGCGATTAACACATGTATGTTTTATGTATTATATACTGTATTCACACAATAAAGTAAGCTGGGGAAAGGGAAATGTTATTAAGAAACCACAGGGAAAAGAAAAATACATTTAAAGTACTTTACTGTATTCATCAGGGGGAAAAAAAATTCCGTGTATAAGTGGACCCATGTAATTCAAATGTTCTTCAGGGTCAACGGTACTACTGCTCAAATATTAAACATAAAGATACCCTCCAACATGTATTTTACAAGTTTAATATTAGTGTACAGAGATGTTCATAAAGGTTTAAGCAGTATCCCTATTACTGTCTACAGTTTACCTGAACTGTTTCCAAAATCCTCTGGGCACATAGTATTGTAGTCGAGAAGCAGCTAAATGACCAAAGATGACTTGAAGGTGCCTTAGAACACCAATATTATACTCTTTCCTATCTTCTGTTTTACTTAATGCTGGTTTATCTTCAAATTGTTGAGGATATCCAAATACATCATCTCTGGGATCAACATTGCTCTGGAAAAGAAAAAATATTAATACGTTAATCCAACTTTAAAGTACAGTAAAGTATGTTGAGACAAGCACCAGTTACTGAACAAATGATTAATCATTTGTACTTCTGTTTCTTTCCAAAGCACTTAACTTCCAATTTATAAATTTTAATTTACAATGTGTTTATCTCCACCATTTCACAGAAGAGTTGTCATAAAGGAATAACCCTGACTGTATATTGGAAAGGTAGATAATAAAGGCAACGTAGCAGAGTAGAGTGTGCGGTTTAACACAGACGGAAATGGACCCCAGTGTAGGCGCTGCCACTGAGAAGCTGGCTAACTCTGAGCAGGTCAGCTACCTCACGCTTCTTCTTTTTTTAAAAGATTGATTGATCGATAGTATTACTGAGAGAGTGAGAGAGAGAGAGAGGGAAAGAAAATGCATGCACAAGCAGGGGAAGAAGCAGGCTCCTCGCTGAGCAAGGAGCCTGATGCGGGACTCAATCCCAGGACCTTGGGATCACGACCTGAACTGAAGGCAGATGCTTAACCTTTTTAAGGTTTCAGAATCCATTAAGTATTAAACTACCTCAGAGCCGACTGAGCCACCCAGGTGTCCCTACTTCATGTTTCTAAGCTTCGGTTTCCTCATGGGGATGTGTGGCTGTGGGGAGGATTATGAGGTGCTCAGAACTGTGAATGAAATATGCATATTAAGAGTAGTACTCCTCAAAAAATGATGCTGGAAAAACTAGATATCCTTATGCAAAAGAATAAAGTTGTACTCCTCTCTAACACCATATACAAAAATTAACTCAATACAGATCAAAGACCTGAAAGCAAGAGCTAAAATTAAGAAATTCTTAAAAGAAAACAGGGTAAAAATGTCACAACATTTGATTAGGTGGTAATTTATTGGCTAGGACAGCAAAGGCACAGCTAATGAAAGAAAAATGAGACATACTGGACCTCATGAAAATGAAAACTGGAACCCTTGTGCACTGTTGGTAGAAATGTAAAACGGTACAGCCACTGTGGACCAGTTCCTTAAAAAATTCAAATCAGAGTTACCACATGATCCAGCAATTCCATTTCTGGATATATGCCCAGAAGTGAAAGAAAGGTCCTGAAGAGAGATTTGTACACCCATGTTCATGAGAGTACTATTTACAATCGCCAAAGGGTGGAAGCAACCCAAACGTCCACTGATGGATAAACAAAACGTGGTCTGTCCACACGGTGGAATATTATTCAGCCTTAAAAAGGAAGAAAATCTGGACACATGCTACAACATGGCTAAACCTTGAGAACATTATGTTGAGTGAAATAAGCCAGTCAGAAAAAGACAAAAATGGTATGATTCCACTTATATGAGGTACCTAGAATAGTCAAATTCATAGAGATGGAAAGAGAATTGTGGTACCAGGGACCTTTGATACAGAAACAGAATATCCAGTCCCTGTCCATGAGAAACTCTCTGTCTAGGGATGGAAACAAGAACACAGGCAAAAGGCAAAGAACCAAAAAAACCCCCACAAGTGCAGTGGCGTGCTGAGACAACACAGAGCAGAAGGTACTACTGAGAGTAAACATGGGACATCTTATTTGAAATTGTATCATATTTTGTCTGCCTTGTTTACTTCTTGCCAATGTAATTAGCTATCTCTCCCTGTGCTTACCCCCTCAATATCCGAGAGATGCGATGGGCTACAAAACCAGAATTTCAGTTTCAATTTCCACTCGGAGCAGTGGTTCTTAACCGGGTATAGGTGTAAAGTATCCCCACTATGAAACTTTTTTAAAAAATTAAACAATGCTCAGACCCTAACCCCTGGGATGATGCGGTTCAGTAGATCTGGGAAAGAACTGGGACAAGTATGTTTCAGAAGCCATGTTAAGGTATTAAACTACCTCAGAGCAAATAGCTGTGGTGACTGAAGAGGGGGAAGGAGGAAAGAACCACTGAAAATATTTACAATTAGAACACATTTTGGCTACTCCCTGCAGTTCTCACCAACATGAACAGGAAAAGATAAAATAAAAACAAAGAAATACAGGATGGATATAAACATGATCACAGCTAAGTCTTGTAATATTCTCTTCTTTAAAGAGCTATGCCATAGTTATGTCAAATCTGATCCACCACTACAACCAAACTTTCCCATGGCTTTATTGTGCAGTGAATACTTGGTAGGGAGCCTAAATTTTGTCACAAGACTACGTGATATCTGAAGTAGAGAGAAGTTTGTTGCTTAAGCAAGAAGAGCTATGATCTGGGGCAAATGTAAAAGTAACCTAAAAGTAAACACAGATAATGAAACTGGCATAGTATACAACTTAGCATAAATTAATGGAGATATATTTAAAAATATCAGTAGAAAAGTGAAAATGTAATTTAAATTGTTATAAAAATGGAAGATCCTTATCATTATGCAAACTCCAAATTATATTAAACATTTCACACAAAAAATGGAGTATGTGAACTGCTGCTTTAAAAACATATAAACCACCATGAAAATTAACTATAGTATAAAGTCTGGTAGCTAGTGAGCACTAGATTATGTCAAGACATAGCAGTCCATGCTGGGAGACTCTAGCTTTATTTTCAAATATACATCAACAAGTCCAATGAAAGTACAACATTCTGTAAGAGAGAATAACAGTATCTGGTAGCAGAATTTCAAACAGAAAACGGAAATGCTAAAAAAAATTTACCTCATTGTCCTGCTTCTCATCCCCAGACATATCATCATCTACATCACTACCTGTGCCTTCAATTGCAAGAATACCGTTCCTGATGGAGGGAATCATGTAGAGTTGCTGAATCACAGAATTCATGTAACAAGTAGCACCAGCATTTTTCAGCCCCACAAATCCTTTAGGTGGGCGGGGTCCAACAGGTGGCAGATATTCCCACTCTGTAAGTGCTTCACAAGCTGAGAGAAGGGAAAAGATTCTTGTAGCATGAACACAACCATTTTGTCCACTTTTAGCTCTATTAAGCTGATAAATTAACATTACCAACAATTCCACTACTTTTCCAGCCAGCTGAAGCAGCACACTGAGTGTGTTTCCCCCTCAACAAACTGAGGGGTTCAGCAACTTGCACCACTATAGGGATTCTTATCCCACCATTTGAAAACCCGTGTCTTACCTGGTGTTGCTTCTACAGAAATGTCAGAAGCAATCTCCTGAGATGGTATAATGCTAATTTCTATGTGCTCACTTTTTTAATTTTTAAAGATTTTATTAGAGAGCGAGCACAAGTGGGGAGGGGGGGGGGGAGAACGACAGAGGGAGAGGGAGAAGCAGGCTCCCCACTGAGCAGGGAGCCTGATGGGGGGGGCTCAATCCCAGGACTCTGGGATCATGACCTGAGCTGAAGGCAGACGCTTAAGCCACTAAGCCAACCAGGCTCTATGTGCTCATTTTACTTTTAGTTTTACTGTTTAGTCATAATTTTTTTCTACTTTTGTATGTTTTCTTAAAAGTGTTTTCAGATTCATTCTGACATGTAATGTTAATATAAATACACTAACGTATTATAGAGCTTGTTTGGTTTTAAAGCATCCTAGGACCACCTGGGGTTCATATCCAGGTTCTGTTGTTTACCAACTCTTTCACCTTCAGGTAAGCTTCTGTTTCCTTTGTTGTAATAAATGTAGTAAGAGTAACAGTTGCTTTGCCTATAACTGCAATGTTATTTTGAGGGGCTAATGAAATAGTGGATTTGAAAGTTCTGTGAGAATTGTAAATCACCGTATGTCTCCCTCTACTTAGTATAAACCTGCAAACAGTGTATAAAGAACAGGTTAAATAAATTATAGTATACTAAATTGAAAAGTATATAAGCCAATAAATGGAATTAGGCAAACATGTATGTGCTGATAGGGAACAACTGCAGATATATTAAGGGGAAAACAAAGTGAAGACACTGTGTATACAATATGCCAATCCATGGTTAAAAACAAAAACTAAACCAAAAAGATTTTGTATGTGGATTTTCCATACAGTAATGCTCGAAGGACAGACACAAACTGATGATAACGGTTACAGCTATCCAATGGGAGCTGGGACTAAAATGGGCAGGAAACGTACTTTTTAGTATGTAGCTTCTTTGGTAGTTCAAATTTTTACCACGTAAATGTACTACTTAAAAAACAAGCAGCCTTTCTGTTTCTGCCATCTTCCAGCCTGTGAAGGGATACTTGGAACAGGACTCTCGAAACAGCAAATATATCTGGAGGGCTGTGGTCCAAGGCCACTTTTTGCTGGCTAGTAGTGGGGTCCTCCAAAACCAGAGTGAGAACACAACTCATCTTAAAATTGAAGGTGATGATCGCCTGAGACGAAACAATTTTATCTGGGCAAGAGATGTGCTCCCATGTACAAAGCAAAGGACAACACAGTGACTCCCAGTGGCAAACTGAACAAAACTGGATAAATATGGGGAAAGGTTACCCATGCCCATGGAAGCAGTGGCATAGTTCGTGCCAAATTCCAAAGCAAGCTTCCTGCTAAGGCCACTGGACACAGAATCTGTGTGGTATCGTACCCCTCGAGGGGATAAGCTTATTGAAAAGTAAATGAACAGGGGCACCTGGGTGGCTCAGTCAGGTTAAGTGTCTGCCTTCAGCTCAGATCATGATCCTAGAGTCCTGGGATCGAGACTCGCATTGGGCTCCCTGCTCAGTGGGAAGCCTGCTTCTCTCTCTCCCTCTCCCCCTGCTTATGTTCCCTTTCTCACTGTCTCTTTCTCTGTCAAATAAATAAAATCTTAAAAAAGAAAAAGTAAATGAATAAATGTGTGGATTTGTTGAAAAACCAACCAATAACCCTGAACAAAAGACTGTTCTTTAAGATAAAACAAAACAAAACCCCCACCTTACTACATATAGATTGGGTAAATAAATAGCTAATGGTCTAACCTTTTAAGCAGTTTAATCAGAATCTCCTAAAATGTTATTAAAAATGTCCTCATATTCTGAAATACAACATACCAAAAAATAATTTCACATGTTTTTAAATATTTACTATAACAATTACATCCTTAAGCTTTGTAGATAAACACTGGTTTTCTCTTAAATTATTTGTTTGATTTCTTATTTCTGCTTTTCCAGTCATTTAATATTGCCCCCATCCTTTTGGAGCTTCAGTTCCAGATCTGTATGATCTGGTCTACAGTCTATCTCAAGGGCTTCATGTGAGCAGTAACCGAGGACATAAAATGCATTAGAATGTTATCTTCTCACATTCTAATCTTTAAAAACCAGATTTTCTTTGAGCTCATGAGAATAATATTAAAAAAGAGCTTTTGAATAAGAGCCTGAAAGGTTTTCCAAGGCATGCAACTCGAGTTTTAAATTTGAACTCTGGCATTTCTTTTGACTACTTATTATTCCGTAGTTTGGGTTTTATTCCAGGTTTGACTGAGATGAAATTAATTTGCTAAATACTCAAACCCCTTACAGGAAGACATTTAACAAACACTTAAAAATTTTCTACATCAAGGCTCTTTGCTTGTAATGGTGTTAAATTACACATCCATTTCCTACAAATGTTAAGGCAGTTGCTGAAAGAAAAACATGAGCTGAAGATGTTTACCAAAAAGAAATTTTTAGGAAAATAGAATTTGAACAAATTAGAGAATTATCTGTCATCACAACACTGTATTTTAGTATACTTACTAGTTATTGCTGTGCCAATATAATACATTTCAGTCAAAGAATCTACTATCTGTTTGAGATTCCTCACACAGCCAACAGCTAATGCTACAAGTAACTCAAAACCAGCGTTAATGGTAGCTGGGGAGCTACAGACTGGAATTGCCTGTTCAGCAGGCAGCTCTCCGTTTCTCATATATTGCAGGTAGACATTGGATGCAGGGAAGATGAAATCATCAATTAATTCCTACAAGAGATGAAAAAAGGATTACATATTAGCAATTACATATGTATGTTATATAGTTATATTTCTGTAATGTTTATAAGTATGACACACCAAGTTGTGTGTCTGTGTGTGTATTGTATACATTTATCTTTTTTTAAGGAAAGAAATGTCTCTTAGAAGGAAATAATGTTAAATTACTTGTCAGAAGTAAAGATATCATTACATCTGAGAAAACTTGATTTTCTAATAAAAGGATTCCACTTCTAAACACTATTTACTGTAACAAATATACCAAATTTCTCTGACTATCAAGAGCAAGTTGACTATAGCACTTAACATTTTAAATAAGTTTATTCCTTTATTTTTTAGAAGATCTTACTTATTTATTTGAGAGAGAGAGAGAGCATGCACACGCACAAGCGGGGAAGAGGGGAGAAGGGGCAGAGGAAGGAGAAACAGACTCCCCACTGAGCAGGACCCTGAGATCATGACCTGAGCCTAAGGCAGACACTTAGCTGACTGAGCCACCCAGGTGCCCCATGTTTACTCCTTTAATCATATGTATACCAAAACTAATTTTGAATAAAAATAATATGTACTAAAATGATACTTTTTGCTTCCTTGAGTTACCACACATGTGAAGAAAGTCACTAAAGAAATAGGATAAACAAGATGCAGTCTCACAAACAGGTCTGTCGTGTTTTAAGTAGACCGATGAAGTGAAAAATTCAGATTTTCTAAATAAAAAAATTCAATAGTGTGTATTTACTTTATTAAATACATAGTTTATATACAAAATTTAGAAACTGTACTTAAACAATTACTGTAACCTCTATAAAGATTCTTAAAAAGGCAGAAAAGGTCAAGATAATACACCAAAGACATGATATTATAAACCAACCAGACAGATTTGGTAACAAACATTTAGGAGATCACAGTATCTAGTTTTGGACAAAACTTACTTTAATGAGATTAGCACCTCCTTTTTCACAACCAATATGATACTTTTTCTCAGGGGTTTGAAAGGCCAGTAACTCTTTTGTTACCCCAAGGTGGCCTTCTAAGATCGTCTCTTCCACACCTGTTTCACCTGTTCTTTTAACATCATCCTGCCAAAGAAAAAATAACAAATGCCTAACTTATGGAAGGGAGGTAGGGAGGGAGAGAGGAGCCACAATTCGAGAACTAGACACACATGAGGTAATTCCCCCAAACCTTTCCATTCTTTTTTAAAACTTTATTTTTTAAAATCATTCAGTGTAGTTTACAGTGTCATATTAGTTTCAGGTGTACAATACAGTGATTCAACACTTCCACACATCACTCAGTGCTCATCAGGACTAGTGCAATCCTTAATCCCCATCGCCTATTCCCCCACCTCATCTCCCCCCACCTCCCCTCTGGTAACCATCTGTTCTCTATAGTTAAGAGTCTGTTTCTTGCCAAAGCTTTCCCTTCTAAGCAGGATGAAGTTCTCTTCAGAACTTTCTGAGGGCTATAAATGCTACGAATCTCTTCAGAAATAAATTCTCATACAATTCTTAGAGTATCCGGTGTTAACATCAGGAGTTAAGTGCTAGTTTATACACACTGATTTTTGATGAGAACAATTCAAACATTTTAGAAGATGAAAATTTGCAAAAAGGCCCAAGATTATAAAATCGAAGAGGCTGTAATCAGTATTTCAAGTTTCAAGTAAAACAAAGCATTTTACAAAACTAGCTATGCATTCATTCTGTGAATCGTGAGTTACTAAGAGCCACCATCACAGAGTATATTCTTTGGTCCTTTTTATTAATCTTTGGTGTTTTTCACTTAACCAACAAACTATCAATTAATAAAACACTATTTATCGATACAATAAACACAGTATTAAAGGTAACTTACCCTAATTCTTTTAAGCCAATCAATTTCATTATTGAGAAGAACTTCAGCATTGGGTATGTTAATATTACTATTGTAAGCGTAATTAAGAAGGTGTCTTAAGAGGGTGAAGTAGTCGCCTGAATGCTTAGCTCTCTCTCTGGCTGTGCTCTGAAAACAATCGTAGAATAACGTGAATTCACATGTCCATGCTCAGAAGCCACTTTTTAAAAACCTAGAGTTAACTAGAGCAGAGGACTAAAATAATATGGGAAGTTATGAATATTTAATAAATATATGGTGTTATAACTTGAATATAAACTAAAACCATAAATTCCTGAATGCCTGTTTAAAGAATTAATCACAATGAGAAGCATATTTAAAAATGTCTCACCCCCAACACGGTAAAGAGCAGAGTAATGAAGAAAAGTAGAGGCCTGTGTCCCATGCAACATCTGGTGCACATTAAAAAGAACTGCTCCTGTGCCACCTGGCGAACAGTTCTGAAATAAAAATGTTTCACATTTAACATATTATTTGCACAAAGTAAAAAAAAAAAGAAAAAAGTTTCCAACACTGGTCTCTCTGGGGGGGGAGGGGTGCGGTGGATTAAGGGTGAATTACAAGTAAGGATACAAGGATACAAGGTAACGCCCCCTGAAGCCGGCAACCCAGGACAGATGAACCGTAGGCTGTACGGCAAGAACTATAACCTCAAATTGTCATAGAAGAGTTTGAGGGAACAAACTGGAACTCCTCCACTGGATACAAGATGGCCTACAGTGAGCTTTACACATCTTCTGGGCCGTCCACAGAATTTTTACTCATTGCGCTCCAGAGCAAACAACTCTGTAGGAATTCTGTTGCAATTACAGTAAGGATAATGCTGCAATGTCCCTTTTATTATACTAGTGGTTCCCAAAGCATGGTCCCCAGATCAGCAGCATTAGCATCATTTGGGAACTTGTTAAAAATGTCAATTATCAGGCCCTATCCTGGACCTGCTGAATCGGAAATACTGGGGCTGCTACCCAGCAACTTGTGTTTTAATAAATCCTTCAGGTGACTTTAATGTGCGCTAAAGATCGAAAACCACCGTATTATGATGACCCTCGGAAGAACTTGTCTCTGGTCCCACTACTGAGAACTTTACCTGATAATTATGAATCCTTAAAAAAAATTATACACTATATAGATCTCACTAGAGCAAATGTCCAAGAGGCTCGAGACATCACCTATTTACTACCGTGCCTCAAGAACCTAGAATAGTGACCGATGTATAATAGCACGCTAAGAATCAGTTCAGTTACCACATGCACAAATGCTGTTTATAAGATAGTGGTCTGTCTCCATTAGAAAGTAAGCTCTTTCAGGGCAGGGCTTTGCTGATGCCAGAGTTTCTGACACCTGGAAAACGTCTGACATACAGGGAGATGCTTAACAAGTATCTGCTAAGCATCTGTGTGTCTTACGGACATGGCAAACTACATTTCACAGAAAACTATCATGTTTCTGCCTTTGTGCTAGCCAACAAGAGAGCTTAGAACCAAATTTATAGCTCAGTGTAAAGGACTTGACAGCATACGCTTTGTGTACTAACCTCCCTCCTAGATGTTTCCAGGTTTCTAGAAACCTGTACATGGTCTTACAAACCAGGACTTTAGAAGCCTTGTGGGTTAAATTTGATGAACCCAAGTAAATTGAAGTCAGGAGTACCTAAGTTTTCTGGGGAGCAAGTCCATAATTTTTATTAGATTTTCAAATGTATATGTCATTCACACTGTCCTAGTTTTATTTTTGTAAAACATAGGTATGCAGCCCAAATAAAGTAGGGATCTACATAGTTAGTATTTGTCATTTCCTGATGAAATCTCCCTCATACATGTAGACTTCTGTGATGCTTTCAAAGAAACATGTGCCTATCTACAAATCGTGTGGCCTGTATCTTTATGACATACTCAAAATCTCATTTCTCACCACCTCTAATACTACCATACTTCCAGCCACGGTCATCTTTTATTTGGATTAAAAGTCTGTTTTTCCTGACACTCTAGAATTTATTCTCAACAAAGCAACCAGAATAAACTCAAAATGTTAGTAACTCAGAGCACACCATTCCTCTGCTCAAAATCCTACAATGGGATGCCCATCTCAGGGTTAAAAAAAAAAAAAAAAAATTCCATGTTGTTAGAATGATCTATAAAATCCTAACAGGCTGCCTGTTAACTTTCTGACCTCATCTCCTACAGCTGCCCATCCCTCACTCACTGTTCCAGCCGCACTGGTCTCCTTGCTGTTCTTTAACACATCAGACATGTTCCTGCCTCGGGACATTTACATCTCTTGTTCCTTCTGCTTAAAACATGCTTCCCCCATTATCTGCATGGATCACTACCTTCCTCTTTCAGAGCTCTGTTTAAAGGTCACCTTCTTAGAAGGCCTCCTCTATCCTATATAAAACTAAACTCTATTGACTCCCCACTACTCCTTGTCACCTTCCCTGCTTTCTCTCCATAGCATCTATCACTAACATAACTAGGTATTTTCCCACAAGTCTGCCCCTTCCAACTCCCCATCTCCTTTAGTTTGTAGACTCCAAGAAGGCTGCCGTTCTGTTCTGTTTACTGCTATATCCCTAGCACCTAGGATAGCGCCTGATACATAATAGGTACTTGCTAAATTATTTACCAACAGGACTGCCTACCATATTAAAATCGAGCACTACTTAGGTCTTAGCATCAAAGGCCTTCTGTAAACTGACTCCCACTAATCTCCTTTACAGTATTATCCTGTACTCCTCTTTCACACATCAAACCAGACTACTCAGCTTTTCTCTGAAAGCACTACGCCAGGGGTGGCAAACTCAAATGTCTTCATCAATGAGAGGTAACATAAAGGAATTGAAAGGTAGGGTATATGGCAACAGGTGCTAGAAGGGGCTGGAAAAAACACAGCCTCCTAAAGGAATTTAAAACCAATTGTGAGTGATTACAGTAAGTTTAGCGTTATGATGTAGAAACAGACCTCAACTAATATAAACAGAGGTCTGGGAGACTTTCCAGAAAACTTACTAGAAAATGTGGCATCCAAGTTGAAACTTATACGCAGCAAGGGTCAAATTGTGGAGTGTTTATAAACCAAATTTAAAGTTTAGACTTACTTCAAAGGCAATGGGAAATCATAGAAAGACTTTTTACCAGGAAAACAACATGATCATGCTTGGCAAAGATCACGCTGTCTGCAGTAATACCTTAGTGGTGCAGCACTGGGGTGGGAAGATTAAGGATATTGCAGTTGTCCGGGCAATAGATGCTGGTTGTTTAGACGAGGGTAGAAGCAGTATGAGGAGGAGGAAAGTGTATGGAGTCCAACAATACAGAAGTAAAAACAGCATAATGGGGACTGAGGTTGAGGGGGAGCACCGCCAGTGCCCATCTTCCATTTGTATGCACATATAAGTCTTACCCAAACCTGAGCTCACTTGTCACATTCTGCATAGAACCCTCACTTCTGCTCTTTCCAGGTAGAAAGTAACTTACTCCTCTTCTAACTCCTAGAGTACTTTGCCTCTTATGACACCAATTTTTCTCTCAAAGTTCTTTGAGTGTAAGAACTATCTTATTTGACTTTGGACTTTGACTGCTAAGCACATAGTAGGGACTCACACTAATTTGTTCATGGATTATAATTATACAGAGTATAACCTTGTGGTAAAAGTTAGAACTCAAGAGCTAGGACTTGTCCTGTAACTTCAGCCTTAGTTCTGCCAGCAGCAGTCTACTTCTGAGTTGCTACAGAATTAAGGGAAAAAGCATACCTGGGAAATGCATTGTACACAGGTATACTGGTTAGTAATATTACGCAAGTATCAACTCTATGCAGGGCCACAATCCTGCATCTGAAATCCTTGGGGCTGGATGTGTTTGGGGATTTAGATTTTAGAAAGGTAATGCCAACAATTCATATTCAAGTCAGGTTTGCTGTCAAATTCTTACAAACCGGATATAAGGTATCCATCTTACCTTTGAACCTGAAAGAGCGGGGTGAGGGCCAGTCAGAGAAGAAAATCAGATACCTAAAGCTCAAAAAGATCTTGATCTTAGAAGACCCTTTCTGTTGTTGAAGACAAGGGAACAGAGGCATACTGAGATAAAGTATTGTCTACAGAACTTTACTTCATTGTATGAAGTTTCAGGAAAAGGAGGGAAATGGTTCTAATTTCCTATAAGGGGGAATTTTCATAAAGGTCTGTAGAGGGCAGAAAACGTGTAAAACCAAGTTCCTTAATACTTAGAGGAGCCAAGGAAGTGAAGTAAGTTCCTAATTTAGTTGAAGATTTGAAAATCAATACGGAACAAAACATTTGCTATGTCTGGGCTTGACCTCCCTAAAACTCTTTCCTCTCCCCTGACATGTTATTAAATAGAACCAGACTCACTCAACCTGTTTATTTTTCTTCAAATACGGGGTTATCTCATGATGATCAAGTCTTTTCAAGGAGGTAACAAGCACAATCTTATGGGGGGGGAAATCCTGTCAAAGGACTTTTTGAATTTCAAGGAAATTACCAAGGAACTTCTAAAATAGTAGACATTCCCACTAATTCACTTTACAGCATCCTCTGGAATGAGCAAGTTATATCTATTCCATTAATGTACATTTTTTAAAAAAGCTTTATCACTAGGTTTTATTTCAGCAAACTTTATTTTGACTTTACATTAATTTCATCAGTGATTTCTGTCATTGCTGAATGGCATTTTGCCGAGAGCATAACCAAAGTGAACATTTTCTGTCTTTTCACAAAATATATGTAAGACAGATTTACATGTAACAGTGACACTAATTAGAGCTCCAGTTTAAAGAGTTACTTCATGAAGGTCAGGATTAGAATGACATGAGGATGGAAATCGACTTTTCTACAAACCTGACTTGCACAAAAAGAAGTTTGAAACAAAGTTTATATAAATCATTGATCAAATGATCTTGAATTGAAAACAAGGGCTTTATATAGTTGCTCTTTGTTCTCATTATAAAATGCAAAAGTTCTCACCATAACCCTGATTTGTGAATTTCATACCGAATTAACAATTTCTCTTGAAACAAACCAACCAAAAACAAAACTTGGCATCTACATATACAAGACAGGAGGCGAATGTCCTATTTAACTGAAACCTGTAAACCAGATTTTAAACATGTGCTAAAATATAGATCTCTTAGGTGAAACTAAGTTCTGAAATTAGAAAAAAAAATTAATTTTGAGATTTAATGCTGCCATTTTGCAGAGACTAAAACCAAAGTTAGGCCTAGGCAAAACGTGGTTAAAGAAAATTTTCCTAAATATTGTCATGCTACAGAGACAACAAACACTTGATTTCTGGGATAAATTCTGCCAGCATAAATTCATTTCTGTGTAACAAAAGATCAAGTTTCTTATAATTAAAAAAGATACTTACTTGCTGTGACAGTGCAACAGTAAGTCAATAATGAATGTCTGCCAAGCCTTTTCTTTACTAAGAGCATCCAAGGCTGTCGGAATCAAGGCAAAACATAACGTCATCACTTCCAATGCTTCACAGCAAACCTGTTCATCCTCCAGGTCTGGCTCACTGCCTGCATTGGTCTGTAAAATTATGGTCAGAGGCAAATTACCTAGAGATGCATTTAAGAAAAATCTCATACAACTTCAAGTTAGTGCTTAAAACTTACAGATCATTTAAACCATTTGGCCTCAGCCTCTCTACCTGCACCTTGAGACCCGTTTAAGAATAGTATGGAAATGATTAAACTAGACAGTGAAGTCTAATTCCAGTATTTTGCTACATCCCAGGGAGCGATGAAGGAGCACACTGAGAATACCACCTGTTTCTTTGTCCTTCAGGCTCCTAGGGAGCTCCTAGGGATCTTCTGAAGCCAACAATCATTCCTTTCTTAAGGACCACTCTAGCACTGCAGAGTTCGGAACTTATGACTAGTTCCAAAATATAGCGTACCTACAGTGCCATTTTATTCTAAAGCAGTTTTCTTAGACAATTCTTCAGGAAGGTTTTACAACCCAAAACATGCTTGGGTAGGTAGCTAATAAATTCTAATCTGACTTTATAAAAAAGTGATGATTACAATACATGCCCAAAAAAGAACAAGCATTCAAATACTATCTGAATGGGGGCACCTGGGTGGCTCAGTCGGTTAAGTTCAGCTCAGGTCAAGATCTCGGGGTCCTGGGATTGAGCCCTGTGTCAGGTTCTGTGCTTGGTGGAGAGTCAGCTTTGCTCTCTCCCCTCCTGCCTCTCCCCCCCGACTCATACTAATAAATAAATAAAATCTTAAAAAAAAAAAATACTAGTTGAATGTCCAGGACCTGTACCAGATAGACACTACAGGACTCTAAAATGTATCCTAGGAAAAACAGGGTTTTTCACAGGTTATGTTGGACATAAAAAGGAAGCTCTACTAAGCCCCAAAGTTCCTACAAATTTTTCTTTTCTAAATATTCAGCAGTGATTATGAGGGGCAAGTACATATAACAGGAAATGAAAGAGTCAAACACAGCCTCATGTCTGTACATAATTTGCTTCATCTAAGGGAAGGTCAGAGATGATACCTAATTGGCTGACACTCTTTCTACCTTTGACTGCTTTAAAAGACAAAAATATTTAAATGCCAGGACACCACAGCTAATAGTTAACTAAACCAAAATTTACATAGGACAGAAAGATGATGAAAGAAAAAGAATGGAGAGAATAGGAAAAAGCAAATTCAGTAGGAGATCATAAATGACTCTAGTGAGAAGCAGAAAAACATCATTTCATATATGAAAAAGCAGCTTTATGGTAGGATTCGGAAGTACTTCACTTCACAAGTAAAATTTTACTGTATTCTCATCTTACCTACAGCTACCATTTAATTTTCAACCATGAAGATGCAAATGATTGGATTTTTAAAGATAGCAGATGTAAGGATTCAGCCTCACACACAATTAAACATTAATTAATTGACTGATTTTTAAAAAGATTTTATTTATTTGACAGAGAGAGACACAGCAAGAGATGCAACACAAGCAGGGGGAGTGGGAGAGGGAGAAGCAGACTCTCTGCGGAGCAGGGAGCCCGATGTGGGGCTCGATTCCAGGACCCTGGGATCATGACCTGAGCCGAAGGCAGACGCTAAATGACTGAGCCACCCAGGCGCCCCAAACATTAATTTAAAAGGAAAGTATTTCTGAGATAGTTCTTACCTTCTCATAAATTTTAGTGATTTCTTCATTTGGGCTAAATACTAGCTGTAATGCCCCACATCCTGATGCCCAGATGATTTTTTGAATAGCTCTAATTACACAGATATCAGGCATGTATCTTGAAGCCTGCAAGACAATGAATAATAAAAATGGTTTGATAGCATATGAGAATAAAATAATAACTGGAAAAAAATGTTTCTCCTTATAGAAGAAATAGGAATGGCTGTGAAGCAGTACCATTATCTTTAGGTTCCCAAATTGCTTTTGTCCCTTTTTTTCATTTAACAGCAATACCACAAAGTATGCTCTCCAAGTTATTATCTGGCCCTATATTACTACTTTCAGAAACATCTTAAAAAAGACTACAAAGATGATCCTACCACCATTCTACTCATTTTTTTACCCATAAAAAATGAAAACCAAGTCCACACAAACACTTGTATAGAATGGTCACAGCAGCTTTATCCACAGCCAGAAGAGGAAAACAATCCACATGTCCATTGCCAAGTGTATGGATGTGGAATATTCATAATGGGATACTACTCAGCAGCAAACAGGAATGGACTAATGGTCTACACAACACAGATAATTCTCAATGTCGTTATTCGGAGTGGGAGAAGCTAGACATAAAAGAACATACACTGTAGAATTCCACCTGTATAAAATTCTAGAAAATGAAAACTATTCTATAGTGACAAAAGATCACTGGTTACCTAGGGTAGAGGGAAGGGACTGCAAAGGGATATACAGAGTGATGGAAATGTTCTATGTCTTGATTATGGTGGTGGTTTCATACATACCTGCATTTGAGAAGACTGAATTATATACTTTTAAAGGATGCTGTTTACTGTACATAAAGATGATTCAAAATGTAAAGTACTAACGTTAATATTAGATAAAATTCATGTTAAGGGAACTCTAGACTGAGAGAGTGATTAGAGTGAATGGGCCTTAGGAAAATTCAGCCTTAAATCGTGGAGGTCAAACACGGAACCAGACCTTGCAGGATTTCACAGCTTAAAAAGTTTAATACTAACCTCATCAGATATTTGCTGAGCAAGACGAATGGACACATTTCTAAGCATGCATTCTGATGATGGATTAGGAATGCTCTGAAGGGCACTTTGTAGCACCACGGCTTGATCATGAGTAACTTGGTTGACCTGAAAAAAACCACCATTTTGCCTGAAGTAAGTAATTTGTACAGAACCAGACCCAACCACTTGCTCCCCACCCATCACCACTAGCTCAAAATGACCTCTGTTTCATATATATACACTGGAGAACTGCGGTGACTTACACAAAAAGCAGTCCATATTGCCAACAATGTGGCTCTCTACTTTTTCTTGTGCAACAAGGTGCTACGTGTCCCTCTGCAAATACCCATTCTAGATCAATTCAACTTGTGTCTCTACATGTGGCCACAGTGTAACTTGCAGACATAAGTGATAAACTGAAGTGATGATTCCAACTCTATCTAAAGACTCAATAAATTACTGCACGCCTCTTACATGTGTGCTTCTGGGCAGAACCTGCTCCCATTTCCCCTGCTCATCATTTTCTTCTTTGAAAAGGAGAAACATTAAGGCATTTCAGTCACAGCTATTGACATTTGCTATTATGACAATATATGCGGTATTCCATATCACAGATGTAATGTATCACATATCTAATGTATCACATATCTAATCAACACTCCCAATTCCCTGATTAAGACCTAAGCCACTTATAAAAAATAGAATCTATATTCCTAAAGCTTTTATCTTCTATTGGTAAACTTAGTAAACCATCACTTGTGATGAATATAGAAAACCTCAAATTTTAGTCAGAATTAAGTGTATAGTTTGACCTCCCGTAAGTAGACACTGAATTATGGCATGTCTTGAGAACTTTTGGTGAGATGGATTAAGGACGCCACCAAGGCGAAGACAGAGTCCAGAGTTGGCGGAATAAGCTCAGAACTGGAGGTTAAGCCTATCAAGGTGGGAAGAGAGATTGGCAACAGGCTAAGTCAATTACAACTTTCCTATTACCACCTGTATCTTCATGTATCTGCCAGGTACAAGTTACTAAGAGATTCATATGGAGTTTTTATCAGGTTTAAAATAACTGAAAGCCAAACAGGGTTTAAAGGAGTAGGGAGGAATTGTCCTCTTAAGAGTACAGCCAGTAAAAAGCATTTTCACTTTTCACATGAATTTAATAGACGAAAACCTCTGAAATAAGATACCACTGGAAGGGAATTTGAAACATTCTCAATCAACTCTGAAATCAAACTTTAAAAAATTACCATTTATTAATATAAATAAGACATTTTTAAAAAGTGTATTACCGATGTCATGGGATTCACGCCTTCTACACCTGGCTGACAAGCTTCTGCTACAGCTCGAACATGGCCATAGCCAATGGCAGTTAGCAACAGTTTGGCTATTTTAAGAGCATTGAGGTAAGCACCCCTTCGAGTTTCCATATCTGCATTTGGTAGGAAGTTATTTCTGGTTAGCATGCTCAGGACAAGGGGTAGGCCACCACTTTTCAAGAAGTGAAATTGAAAATCAGAGGAATCATCAGCCAGAGGTGCACCAGCAGGCATTAACAAGGCATAGACTACCTGGAAAAAAGAAAAAGACCGTATTAAAAGGGTTTAAAAAGATAACTTCTATTTCCCCTATCACCATTGCTAAGAAATTCTTGACCATTTAAAAAAATTTCAATTATAAATTTTATCCATGTTCTTCACATTACCATATAAAAAAAGGTCAAGTTCAAAGAACATGAAATAAATTCAAAAGGGAAAAAACCAACCTCTGTTAGGTATAGCACTTGTGAGGCTGAAGGACCAAAGAAAAGCGAGTCAAGAGATGGACTAAGGCTGCTTTCTCCAAGTTTGGCGTGGTCTAAACAAATAGCTCTTAATTTTTCTATTGTTGTGCTATCTGTAAGAAAAAAGGAGACACAGTCTAAAACACAACATAATCCATGCATTCAAAGTATTTCACTTTTGATATTTTGAAGACTACTTCAATATGGCCTAACTATCAATTGAGTTATAGGCTCATACGTCATGAAAAATAGCCGGATCTGGATTTAAAAAAAAAAAAAAGAAAGATATATGCAAATAATGAATCATGGAACACTACATCAAAAACTAATGATGTAATGTATGGTGATTAACATAACATTAAAAAAAAAAAAGAAAAAAAAGAAATCACAACCAACCAGGACTTCCTAATCAGTCAACCCAAACAAGGAGACAGTATTCACCTAGTCAGAGACCTCAAATCAACGTGCCTCCACAGCCACTAGAAACCTAAAAAATACAGTACACTTCAAAAAGAAGTCTTTTTTTTTTAAAGGCCATTGGGTTCAAGTATTTCAAATCAGTTTGTTTTTTTTTTTAAAGATTTTATTTATTTTTTGACAGAGAGAGAGACAGCGAGAGAGGGAACACAAGCAGGGGGAGTGGGAGAGGGAGAAGCAGGCTTCCCGCGGAGCAGGGAGCCTGATGTGGGGCTCGATCCCAGGACCCTGGGATCATGACCTGAGCCGAAGACAGACACTTAACGACTGAGCCACCCAGGCGCCCCCAAAAAGAAGTCATTCTTATTGAAAATAACAGAAGAGAAAAAATTAGAAGCTCTTCCTTCGACTGCTCTATTGTTCACCTTCATGACACTATGCATTAACTGTTTTATTTTAATGAAAAGAGCTTAGTGGTACCTTAGAAACTGAATTTTAAAAGGAAAGATGGCGAAGAAAAAAAAAGGAATATAGGCAGACCGTTATGAAAGACCTACATTAGCACCTGTTTTCATTAGCCACAAGAAATCCAAAGAGGATGATCACTTTTATGAAGAGGCAAAAAGCAAAAATAGAATCCAGTGTTTGTTTTGCAGAAAGCTGTTTAAGAGGCAGTGTGCACCCTAAGCAGCGTAAGTAGCCCTGCAAAGCTCCTTCCCTGGGAATAACACTCAGCAACAAGCCACCAGAGCTTCAGACTGCCTCTGTGAGCATCTGTGTTTTTCTTATTTTGTGCAGCCATTATGACAAGATTTGTCCCTAAGAGGTTACTTTTTGGGTGTGGGAACACTCAAAAAATTTTCCATATAAACTAATGGTAACTGCTTCTTTGCTTTACACCATTTTGGCTTACAAAAGGTTTCACAGCAACATTCTACTTTTGAGTAGGAGAAACCTATAGTGATTAATATTTACCTCAAAGTAAGCACAGTGTTTCCCCCTCCCATGGTATTAAAACACTAGTTTGCTTGTTTGTTACTTTCTTTTTTAAAGATTTCATTTATTGGGGGGATGGCCAGAGAATCTCAAGCAGACTCTGCTGAGTGTGGAGCCCCATGTGGAATCGGTATCATGACTGAGCCAAAACCAAGAGCTGGACGCCTAACCGACTGAGCCACCCAGGAACCCCCACCTTTCTTTTAAATCACAGTGAAGAGTTTAAAAACAACAAACCCCATGATACAACTTAGCATTAGTTACTAAACATTCAAACTTAAGAATAGTCAATCAACTTTAGGTAGTACTGTTATCAAATTATTTCCAAGGTAAATGCACTGATTAAAATACCACTTGATAAATAAGATTGCTTTAAAAAAATTAAAAGCTTTTATTAAGAATAAAGATAACTGAAAATTACTATAATTTCCGTAGAGCAAGCTAATTTTATCTTATCAAAAAATCTTCAGTTTGTGGGATGCCTGGCTGACTCAGTTGGTGGAGCATGTGACTCTTCATTTTGGGGTTGTGAGTTCAACCCCCACATTGGGTATAGAGATTAAAAACAAAATGAAAAAATCTTAAAAACAAAATCTTCAGTTTGTATTAAAATTGTTGGTTTTCCCTATTCTGAAGGGACAGTGACAGATAATGTAACTAAAATATTGAGTTCTTATAATCAAACATTTGTGAACAGCTTCTCAGGTCATTAAATATTCATCCCCTGTATTATTTTTAATTGGTGATTAAAATGACATTATGTCATTTTACCAGTTTAATCTCTATTATTGGGCATTTAGGGTTTTTTCCCCAATATTTTTTTTTATATTGAAGATCCTAACAGCTAATCTTTGCAATTATTTATTTCATGAGGAAAAAATCCTGCAAGCAGAAAGAACCACCAAGGTCCAAGACTTCTAACATACAACACCAAATTATTCTCTAAAAACCAACCAATTCATAGGCTGTATTTGAGAATGCCTTATTGGTTTAAAAATATTCTAAGTAGGGGCACCTGGGTGGCTTAGTCGACTGGGTGTCTGCTTTTGGCTCAGGTCATGACCCCAGGGTCCTGGGATTGAACTGCGCATCGGGCTCCCCACTCGGCGGAGAGTCTGCTTCTCCCTCTCCCTCTGCTCTGCCCCCACTCCTGTGCTCTCTCAAATAAATAAAATCTTAAAAAAAAGTGGAAGCGCTGAAGAGGAAAAGCATCTCAGTCTGCTTGGTAAAGCAGTATACGTTTTAATCACGCAGTATCAAGAAGAATCTGTTTTCCTGGTGCACACAGAGAGCACAGTCTAAATTACAAGAGATTAAATTACCTACAGAGAAGATTGGAGATGTTCCAAGTTTAACAGCAACTCATAATAGAGGCACCTGACTTCAGGCAGGTTCAGAAAGAACTAAGAGAGGTAAAGTCAATGACTAGAAAAAAAAAAGCTACTCATTCCATCTTGGTTTTCTCCCAGTTTAAAATATATGCAAGCATGCACAAACATTAAATGATTACCCAGAAGTAACACAGCCAGAAACAGAATTCCTTACAGTCCCTGCTTCCTTTCTTAAAGGAGGGAAGGAGGGAGAGAGAGATAATGAATGTGTATGTGTGTGTGCATGCATGAGGCAACCACAGTGACAGGGAGGAGGTTAACATTTGTTGAATATTCATTAAATACCAGTCATTAGGCTGGGGTTTTCCATAGATGTATGAATGGATTACCCTTGTAATCCCTGCAATTCCATGAAATAGTTATTATTAGCCCAGTTTTATAGATAAGTTCTGAAAAATTAAGAAAACATGTCTAAGGCATGGAATAACAACTAGAATCAGAACCTGAGTTCACTCAAGTCCATTTGAGTCCAAAGCCCGTGATTTGTCTACTGTAATATGATCACTACTGGCTTTTTCAATGTTGGCTATTTCAAATTTCGGTACTATACTTTCATCACATAAAATATGAAAAAAGCACTCTTAGGTTTCCTGCCTTAACTTCTGGCAAAAGCTCACTCCCACCATGTAGTGGCATTATACTAAAATCACAAGATCAGTGATTCTGAAGTGGGTTTGTGTTTTAAATTATGTTGTGAAGGTAGACTCTGCACAAAGCAAAAACAACTGTTTCTCAAACACCAGTAAATAAAACAATACAAATTCTAAACAGTACAACAGGTAAAGGATAAGGATTAAATTAAATGGTTGAGAGAAGCTTTAGCTAAGAACCTAAATACCTGAACTGATTCTGTCCCACATTAAACAGAAAACAAGATGGGAAATGCCAATATGGTGTTTGCTTTAGAAAAAGGAGATAATGGAAACAGTCTTAAAAATTATCTGGGCCAATTATTGAACTGTTATTTATCAGCAATGCACCCACAAACCCCACTACAATGAGAATAACTTATTATAAAATATTATAAACTCAAAGGGACATACAAACAGGAGATGAAGAAACACTAGAAAGATGTGAGCCAATTACCGAAGGTATAGAGGGGATGGAAGACAGCTGGGTTAGATGAACCAAGAAGCACCTGTGGTGTTAGTTAAGAGGGTGGAGGGGGTGGGGGAGAGGCTACTTATTAAGTTAATGCCCCACTGAATCCTAGAAAAGCTAAGGATATGAAAACAATAGATACTTGGGAAAGTAGAGATGAATCAAAGACCTAACAACAGTGGCTGAAGTCTGCATAAGAAGCAAGTCACCCCCCCACCCCGCACCAACAATAAATCAATGAAGTTGGGAAGCAGATTTCCCACTAACTTATAGATACAAACATCAAACTGAGAAAGACGAAGAAGCTGTAGTAGTACCAGTATGAACCCATGTTTGTTTTTTCTAACAGAGACAGATACAGAAATTGATATAGATGTGTATTACTTCCTCAGTTTAATGAAAAGGCCTGGAAACAAGACATTCCAGTACTAATAAGTTTCTGGTTTCTAAATAACCTCTCTCTCACTGAAAGGAGTAATGGCTGATTCTAGGGCTAGGATAAAAGTACTAGATGAGCTTTAAACATCTTGTGCCATATAACACATCACAAATAGGGTTGCCAACCAGTAAATGTAGAATGATCAAGTTAAATAAAATCACCATTTTGAAACCATTACAGAAAAAATGGATTCAAGCAATCATCACAATGAATGGTAAAATCAGTAAGTAAAAGTTTGATGAGGAAAGAGTTACAGGGTCTCAAAACATCTCTCCAAAAAAGGAAAAGTAACTTTGCAGAGGAGAAATCTGGCAGACATCAATTATGTGATCTGGGATAATATCACCAATGAAGGACAAACTGACATGTGCCTCCTGGTATAATGCTCTGAGAAAGAGCATCACATAAATGGTATTCTGGGAAGAAAAAAAAAAAAGCACAACCTGTATATAACATCAGGAAACAGACAAAAGCTAAGGAGACACATTCAACACCACAACTGATCTGTGCGCTTTTCAAAACCATCGAAGTCATAAAAGTCAAAGACTGAGGAACCGTTCCAGATTAAAGATACCACATGAATCATGCAATGTAAAGAAGCTGAATTGGACTCTCAAAAAGAAAACAGTTTTAAGGTTCATTATGGGGATAATTAGTAAATATAAGTTCTATAAATTAATTTATCAGCGCTGTACTTTTCTTTTTCTTTTGAAAGATTTGACAGAGAGACACAGCAAGAGAGGGAACACAAGCAGGGGGAGTGGGACAGGGAGAAGCAGACTTCCACGGAGTACAGAGCCCGATGTGGGGCTTGATCCCAGGATCCTGGGCTCATAACCTGAGCCGAAGGCAGACGCTTAAGGACTGAGCCGCCCAGGCGCCCCAATGCTGTATTTTCTAATTTTGATTAATACTGTGGTAATTTGAAGAGAATGTCCTTGTTCTTAGAAAGCAACAGGTATTTAGGGATAAAGAGACAGGGTATCTACAACTTGTTCTCCAAAGGTTAGAAAAAAAAATATTACCACAGAATCATGTAACAAATATAGCAAAACGTTAAGAACTATTGAATCTGGGGAAGGGTAAATGAGATCGTACTGTTCTTTGTTAAGTTTGAAATTATTTAATAAGAAAGTAAGTTTTTATTTTTTTATTTTTTAAAAAAAGATTTTACTTATTTTGAAGGGGGGAGGGAAGCACAAGCAGGGGAAGCAACAGGCAGAGGGAGCAGCAGATTCTCCATTGAGCAGGGAGCCCAATGCGGGATTTGATCCCAGGACCCCAGGATCACGACCTGAGGCGGAGGAGATGCCTAACCGACTGAGCCACCCAGGCGTCCCGAAAATAAGCATGTATGTATGTATGTATTTATTTTAAGATTTTATTTATTTATTTGACAGAGAGACAGTGAGAGCAGGAACACAAGCAGGGGGAGTGGGAGAGGGAGAAGGGGAGAAGCAGGCTTCCCGCTGAGCAGGGAGCCTGATGTGGGACTCGATCCCAGGATCCTGGGATCATGACCTGAGCCGAAGGCAGACACTTAATGACTGAGCCACCCAGGCACCCCAAAATACGTTTTTAATAGGAAAAAAGGTACTCTCCAAAAACAAGAGACAAGCAGGAAACAAAAGAAAATAAAGCACCTATCAGTATTAGACTTCAGGGAAATAAGTACAGTCTACTAAGTTGTCACACATGTTTCTAAAACCCCAATTAGCTCATATTCAAATGGCAAATAAAAGGGTGTAAGTATAATGTGGAAGGTGCCAGTATAACAGAAGAAGTGCAACTTTCAAAAACAACAAAAACCAAAACCAACCAACCAAAAACCCTGTGGCCTGGCACCTGTACAGGAAGAAGCCCTTTTAACTTCTTAGGAAAAATGAAAAGTGAGCACCTGCACACAGACAGAGCTTATCCTGAGAGGTGCACTCCCAGCCTTTCAGGACTCTGGTTGGGTGTTTGTTCTGGGCCCACTTTAATGGCAGCCCATCTGTCTCGGAGCTCCACATCCCCATGTTATCTCAGCACTACCAAGTCAGCATTTTCTATTGGTCTCATGTCTTTTTATTATCTGCTAAGGCAGCCTTCAACCACGTTCAACTACCTGGTAGGCTGTTCAAGTTCTCTCTGAAGATCCAAATTATTTTTATTAGTGCTGTTTAAACTGTATGTGAAAGGGCTCCTAGTCTAGGGTATTATAGCCCAAGCAGGGTAAGGAGGACATCCTTGTGGGAGGGGGGTAGAAAAAATTTCAAGGCAGGCCCAAGACACAGAACCTGAGAATAGGGACCCCCTGCCATGGAAAAGGTGAAGAAAGAAGTCCCACAACAGTAGCTGTATAGAAGGCAAAGAGCAACAGATGAGAGGCAGAAAGGCTCCAGAAAACAGTGAAACCTGAGAGATTATATAATGGGAAATTATTTTGAGAAGTTATTGGAAGATATATGGGATGAATTAGTGATAGGTGTACAGAAAATGAAGAAAACGAAAAGGCGGTATTAAATCCAGTAAAAAAAGTTGTCAGTAATCCAGGCAAACTACTTTTCAGACTCTTGAAATGTAAATTTACATTTTAGCATCAATTTTAGATATGAATTTAAGCAAAAATGGGGAGAATGTGAGAATAAGACTTAAGTTTTCATCTCTACAATAGAAACTCAGTAGGTATCTAAAACTGACAAAGACACAGTTGTATGAGCTTATTATTTACAGATATAATGGTATATACATATACAAGAAAAAAGCTGCACGTTAAATTGTTTCTAAGGAATAAAAAAAGGAACAGTGCGACAGATGACACATGGCCCATAATACGGTGCAGAGGTCAGATAAATATTTAAGGTTTTGCAGACCATAGGGTGGTCAGCCACAACCACTGAGCTCTGCTGTTTTAAAACAAAAGTAGCCACAGTTAGTATGTAAATGAATGAGTATGGCCACACGGTAGTAAGTTTGTTTAGGACACAAAAATATAAGTTTCATGTAATTTTCATGAACCACAAAATACTATTCTCTTGATTTCCCTCTTCCCCCCAATTTAAGAATGTAAAAACCATCCTTGGCTCCTGGACTATACAATATCAGGCAGTGGGCTGAATTTGGCCTGTGCTCTGTAGTTTGTTATATAGACCACATCAGGAGTTGGCAAAGGATATTCCATCTAGACAGAGAATTTGTTAATATACCCTGTTATTGTCCAGCGTATATTTTATGAGCATTATACACATAAAAAAATTCTTACCTGGTGGCATAAGTTTCATAAGTACTCTTGCTCCATCTCTAAGAGGAGGCATATTTAGGCTGCTACCTAAGTCTGCAACTTGCCAAAGGAAAGAGATGTATCTGGGATGCAGTGACATTATCTAGAATACAAAATATACAAACCACTTACCTACAAATTACACGCCCCCCCAAAAAAAACAGCCAAATAAGTAATTTCCACACTTTTGTGTCATTTCTACTCTAAAATGGCCGTCTTAACCATCATTCCACCTGTAGAAATCCTTCATGATGCAGACTGAATATATTATCCAAGCTATCTCCAGTAATTTCTGTGTGACGGCTTTTATTATTTTGTTAAATTATTTCTCTCATACGTACAAGTTAGACTCCATATATGCCAAAAGCTGTCATGCCTGCAAATAATTAAATTCCTAATCCAACTGTTGTAAGGAGCCAATTCTTCTGACACTGGAGTGGCTGGTTATTATCGCAGCCATTAAAATTCTTTTGGGGAGGGGTGGAAGGAGAGGGTAAAGAAGGGAGGAATAACTGTTTCTTTAGATACTAGATATGTTAAGGACAACTTGAGAAAGATTGCAGACATTTTCCTACAGAAACAGTTGTGAAGAAAGGATTCATTTCTGTGGTACGAATACAAGATAAAAGTGATATTTTTCTAAGTTTATATATTTTAAGAGTTTTAATTCAGCTGTATAATAGATTAATTTTATGAAACCTAAAAATACTATATCTAAAGGGAAATGTTTTAAATTTCAACCAAGTTACAATCACCTTTCAGATCTAATCTGAAGTTGATGGTTAACTATACAGTTAATTGATATTTTGCCACATTAAATTGTACACTTCTCAAGAAAAAAGAACTAGTCTATATACAGCTGGCCCTTCAACAACATGGGTTTGAACTGCACAGGTTCACTTACACACTGATTTTTTTCCCACACGCACAAGACAGTACTATAAATGTATTTTTCCTTCCTTATGATTTTAACATTTTCTTTTCTGTAGCTTTATTATAAAAATAAATACAGTATATTATACATACAATATATAATACAGTAAAAATACAGTAAGTATACATATACAAAATATGTGTTCATCAACTGGTTATGTTATTAGTAAGGCATTTGGTTAACACTAGGCTATGAGTAGTTAAGTTTTGGGGAGTTAAAAGATATACATGGAAAAAAAATAAAAGATATACATGAATTTTCTACTTCACCCCCGGGGTGGGGTGGGGGAAGGATGAGGGAGGGGCAGGTGGTTAATATGAGGTCAAACTATATTTCTTTATTCTCAAACTGTATTTCTATAATGCCCTGTATATAGTAGCTCAAAACCATCTACTCACCACCCCAGGCAAACAGCTTTCCACTTCTGGATTGGGACCATCACTGTAATGATTACCATGGTTTCCAGGAGACCCAGTTGAGGAATCAGAAGAACTATCAGGGCTTGAAGGCATATTGGAACTTATTTGTGTAAGTTTGGCTGTAATTAGCTGAAAATAACATATATAGTATCAAAGTCAAGGAAAAATATGCAAAACAGTAGTAACATACCAACAAACAAAAAAACTATAGGCAATACTTCTAGAAATACAATTAGTAGGTGCTGCCTAACAACCAAATAGTTTTATTTTTACAAAACTTCTACTATATTTTAAGTACCATAATGCCAGTCTTAGTGTTATAATCCAAATACCTAATAAAGAGCCTCACACGTAACAGATGCTCAATTAATATTTACTAAATAGTTAACTAGTCAAATGAAAAACAGGTTTGACTTTCTTCCCTTTTTTTTTTTTTTAAAGAACATTTTATTTATTTATTTGACAGAGACAGAGAGCGAGCACAAGCAGGGAGAACGGCAGGGAGAGGGAGAAGCAGACTTCCCGTTAAGCAGGGAGCTGATGTGGGGCTCGATCCCAGGACCCTGAGATCATGACCTGAGCCGAAGGCAGATGCTTAACCAACTAAGCCAACCAGGTGCCCCAGGTTTGACCTTCTTGTAAAGTTTGGTAATTATAGATACTTACTGATTTATCTTTTAAGTTTAATTGTCCAATCAACTTTCTGTCGTCTGCAGGATCTATCAGTTCACCGCCCACAAAGAGCTCGATTTTTGTATGAGCTACATTGGCTTTAATACGATTGAGAATATATCGTCTTACTGAACCGATCGTATCATTTGTATGAGACCATACGTCCAAGTCATCAACTTGTCTGCCCTGGTTTGGAAATCGAACTATAAAAGAGAGGTGTTTACCACGGAAAGCTCTGAGGAAGGGGAGGGGGGAGAAAAAAAATCCTAGTTAGAATTTAGTATCTTCTTGTAAAGATAATAAACATAGGAATTTAATATTGAATATTTTCTTATTAAACGAGAAAGTGAGTTAAGGATACTTATTATTTTTAGGATCTTGAAAATAAAAACTTATTGTCTTTTAATTTCAAATATTTTAAGTGATCTTGAAAATACAACAATCATTTCCCACTGTTATTCTTGTACCTATGCTTGCAGAAAATGAGATGTCTAGTTATAAGAAATTAATCAGAGACCTGAGTTAACACTTATTTTAATGCCATAAAAGTGCAACTCACTAAGACTATTTTTAAAAGTGAAAGATAAACTTTAGCTTGAGAATAGTAACAAAAATGCAAAGATGTAAATTTTTTCTGAAAAACTGTTAATATCAAACTTCACACCCCAAATAATATTTGTTGTTAATATCTTTTTTTAAAATTTTATTTATCTGAGAGGAGAGAGAGCGCAAGTGAGCGAGAGAGCAAGAGTGGGGGATGGGGAGAGAGCCAAAGGGAGAAGCAGACTCCCTGCTGAGCAGGGAGCCCAAAACGGGGCTCGATCTCAGGACCCTGAGATCATGACCTGAGCCAAAGGCAGATGCTTAACTGACTGAGCCACTCAGGCGCCCCTGATAACATCTTCTCATAGGTAATAAGATACAACAACTAAAAATTATATTCAAGAACCAACTTTATATAATTTCATGGTTAGCAATGAGAACTCTTTAAAAATAAATACTGATAGCATTCATTCTATAAACATCTCTAAATTATAAATACTATTTGAATTACTCAATGGTGAGACGACCTTAACAGAAATGTTAGTAGGCCATTTGAAAGTATTTCTTGCTATATCGGCTACCTGTCAAAAGCAACTTTTAAGAGTTTTTTCCAATTATTCTCCAACCTTACTATGCAATTAACTGTATATATGAAGGGCATCAAAATACTTCAACTTATTATCCTTGGCAACACTTAACAGGTACTAAAATCATGGCCAAAAAAAGAAGGAATACAGAGGAAACTAGACTTAATGCCCTACCAAAACAACAACAAACAAAAACTAGATCCTGGGAAAAAAAGGTCTAGGAAAACACCAATTAATTAATTAGCAGATCAGTTATTCACAAACCTTGACATAGGTAGAATTGTTCTTTCCTCGTGATAATCACTGTCACATTCATTTATGTACTCTCTTAACACAGTTAATACTCGAACCATTCGAACAGCTTCCTGCCTTGCACAATTAATACTATCTTTGTCACCATCCAAAACACACAATGTGTCATAAGAGGCTTTCAAACGATCAAAGCAAGACTGAATGAAGTCTTCATGGATTACCACCTACAAATAATGGGCCAAATAAAGACAGTCCAAGATGCTTTAAAATGTAAAAAAAAAAAAAAAAAAACATACACTTAAAAACATTAATTCAATTAAAGATGGCAACAACTAATTAAAGATAGCTCTCAATTATTTAACCAAAATCTATAGTGACAATAAAACATACTATGTTTTGTCAAAGGAAGCTAGAGTTATGTACCTTAAGAAGTATGAACTTGATATTAAAAAAATGAACTTCGGAGTATGTGGTAGAATCAAAAGAAATTCAGTTAAAATCTCATGCCATAATTATATTCAAAATAATCACTTCATGTAATTATCAAGACAAGATTCATTTAGATAACATTTTATATAATGGAAAGAGAGACCAAATATATTAAATACTATTTTTAAAGCAGGATCCACACTCAACATGGAGCAATGTAGGGCTTGAACTCATGACCCTGAGGTCAAGACCTGACCTGAGATCAAAAGTCGGACACTCAACTGACTGAGCCACCCAGACATCCCTTTTAGGTGTATTTTTAATGGGAGTTGAAACAAAACAATTTAGTTAATTCAGAACCGAAGAAAAAATTCTTATCAGCAAAGACTTCTTTAATCAGAATTCTAATTTGTCGAAGTTTTAGTGGATGTCAATCCTTACCTGATTGACCTGCAGCCTCGGACCAAGGTTTGTATATATCTCTTTAAGGAGATCTATAGCTCTGCTGGCAATATCGTCATTACTTTGAATCACGACCTAGGTTCAAAAGATTCAAGTGTAAACAACTTTCATGAAGTATTTTAGCTGGACATTTCAATTCAAACCATATCCTCTGTTATTTTCAACACATTACTCAATAATAATTCGAGGGTATATTTACTTTGATGTTCAAGTAAATCAAGTAAAATTAAGTGGAAAAAAACAGACTGAAAAACAGTAATAAAATGCAAAACTCAACTGTTTGAATAAAGCAATCTGTTTAAGAATGGAAGGCACATATTACTAAGAACAAAATACGCTTTGACCAGTATTAACCCCGCAAATCAACACCTTGGTAACCAAGTTGTAAGACACTGAAGGAGGAATTCAAGTTACTTAAAAAGAAACAAAATATAAATGAAATACAGTTTAGCACAAAGAGCTACACTATGTTCCCCTCCATTTCTATATATCTTCATCACTCATCTAATTATACTGGTGGTCTTCAAACTATGTGCAGAACTCTAGGGGGTTGAGGAAGCGTTTTAAGGCTGACCCCTATGTAGGCTTGGGAAGCGGGAAGGCTGGGAAGTACAGGGAGAATGAGCAGAAAAAACAAAAACCCAAAGAAAAAAAAACAAAACAATAAGTTCTCTCTTCTCCAACTAGTTTTACATTTTGGAGTACTGTATAAATTTTTATTTTTAAAAAGGGTTCTGGCTGTTTGAATAATCGAATGACACAGTGAACGGTCCATGGTTTGCAAAAAATATATCCAAAAAACAATATAAACTGCTGTGAACAGGTCAGATTTTTAAAGGTAGAATTAATACATTAATACTTTATCGCCACAACATGGAAAGACCTTGAGGGCATTATGCTAAGTAAAACAAATTTAGGGAGACAAATACTGTATGATTTCATTTGTATGTAGTATCTAAAAACAAAAAACTGATCTCATAAAACATATATCAATACTAAAAAGGTGGAAAAATTAAACAGATGGTAATATTTTACTCCCTCAGGTGTTTAAAAACATGCTAAGTTAAAACACTGCCATTAAAGTATACATTTGTAGTCCATTCTAAATAGTCTTTTCCTCTGTCCTGTTTTAGGAAGAACAGTAACTTCCATGGGGAGGCATGAAAAATCTGTATGGTCAGTGTATTTCTAAACACATCTGGAAGGACAGATTCTAAGCCAAGACGAAAGGATCATCAGTGACCGGGATGGGGGGAGGGAGAGAAGAAAAAAACCTAATGACAAATGACCCAATAAGATAAAGATGAACTATCACTACCTTCTGGGACAAGCATCAGAGCAGCATACACATATAATTTATATGCAAAATTGTAGCCCTTTGCTATTTGAAAAATTTCATCAGAAAGAACGTCTATAAGTTCCTACTTTTCACTTACCCTCCAAAGGTAGTCTAATCCTATTAACTCCAAATCATCCATCATATATGCTCTCCTTTTTGCTACTAGTTTTCCTTCTCGACAATTCACAGCTTTGAAGAATCGCTCAAAACATTTCATTCCATTCTCAGTTAACAGGGAAGGATCAAGCTGAAGTACATTACTCTCAAAGAAGTCTTTATTAATATCAGGATCCAAGTCTGGTTCATCCCCCATCAACTTGGAATACCACTTAAAGCAGGCTTCACGATCACAAAGGTAAACTGCATTCTCTGCTAAGCATTTCCATATCTGTTTTGCCTGAGGAGCACATAGCCACAATTGGCCATCCTTCAATAAAAATCTTGGAAAACATAAAAAATGAGCAATTAGATCTACGTAATTTTTATCATGAAAGGCAATCAGTATATGTAGTAATAATCCATCTATCACAATTATATTTTAACTACAGTTAGAAAGATGTCAGTTCTTATTAACATCTTACCAAACTTCTCAATTTTATCTTGTAGTAAAAAAAAAAAAAAATTCTAGGTGTTCATTCATTTAACAAGCACATATTGGGATGCCTACAATGTGCCAGGAACTCGGCTAGGTGACTGGGCCTAAACTGAATAAAAGATTTGTTTCCTGAACTTAAACAGTTTGGTCTTTGAAACCAGCCATTGCAAAGCTATGTTTAATGGGTTGAGTTTTACCATTCTGCTTCTATGGCATCATTGGAAAATGAGGTAGTCTCCAAGTGACTTTTACAGATAACCATTTCAAAATTCCTTAAATTTTAATGCTTTCTGATGGTCAAATATGCATAACTCAGTACCTGGCTGCATTAAACAGAATAACCTATGTATTATTTAAACTTTTTCTGTCAATATTTAGCAGGATGCTTATCAATTATTTGGTGATGCTCTTTTTAGTTTTGTGAATGTTGGTTATTAAGACAATGAAGGTGAATTTCGTTACAGCTACCGTCTCTTCTGTTAACTATTTCTTTTAAAATTCCTCCACCTACCCTGTCTGCCTGATCTGTGAATGACAGGAAAAGAGAACACCTCACTTTATTCTGAATTAGCACAGAATTTCTAGGTAACATAATGATGGCTCCACGCCCAGTTATGGAGTAAGGTGCAGGTATTTCATGTCAATGTGTTCCCTCATTACTTCAAGCATTTTGGGATCTCAATCCCAGGGTTTTTGTTATTTTTTTAAAGACACTTTTTAAAGATTTTATTTATTTATTTGACAGAGAGAGAGACAGGGAGAGAGGGAACACAAGCAGAGGGAGTAGGAGAGGGAGAAGCAGGCTCCCCGCTGAGCAGGGAGCCCGATGTGGGGCTCCATCCCAGGACCCTGGGATCATGACCTGAGCCAAAGGTTAACGACTGAGCCACCCAGGCGCCCCGGTTTTTGTTATTTTAATAGAATTGCAGAGCTTCAGGAGGGTTTCTAGCACCTAGTCCTACCTAACCCTGCTACCTCTAATTTACAGATACAATATGAAATGTCCTCTGTGGTAACATATATTTGTTTTTCAAAGTTTGTTTCTGTTTTTAAATATAACAGCAAAAAACTTTCTTCAAGCAAAAGTTCCATTTGGAAGTCCAATGTATAAATTACAAGTGGGGCTGCCCTGATGTTGGGAGGAGGAGGAAAGAAAGGAGAAATGGGAAATCAAATCTCTAATGCCTGTTCAGAAATCTTGGAGAAAGCTCCTTAGAAGCCTTAAGGCTCTAAGACAGACTTGCAAAAATCACTGTCTAATATAAAGAGCATAGACTTTAAAGTCAGATAGATCTAGTTGAGCGGTGCAACTGGCGTCCATACTGGCTGCGAGATTTCAAAGAAGCTAGTTTAAGCCATGCTGATCTCCATTTGCTTTTTAATCAAATGGGGAGAATACCTGCCTTCTGCATGGCTATGACGATTAAATATAAAGCATTTCACATAGGCCAAGTAAAAAAGTAAAGTTAGGTTCTTTTCTCGAGTGTGTTGCTGTAGGTCATGTAGACACGTATAACAGAGAATGGAGTAAAATAGGTTCTGTGATTTCAAACTTGAAGATAATAGGACTCATAACCATTTTTCTGTTCTAGGAAACCTAAGAGATACAACATACACCGATCAATAACAGTCATTCACTATGGCAGTGATTTTCGATCTAGACAGGCAGGTCCTTCTATTCACGTGGTTGAAAATCAAAACACACACAGAAAAAAACATTTCATTTTCAACAAATGTCAAATTTCTTAAAATCTGGTGGCTAGAGTTTTTCCTCAAGTTAAAATCATGTAACTATTTATATGTAAATGTGTCCCAGTAAATAAACACACAGTTCAATAAACAAGTCCATAATTAACTTAGCTCAGGAGAAAATCTCCCAATATATCAAAATAATAAATGCAATAGATTTCCCAAAGCACTGAAAATCTGAGCATTTGTCTTAGCACACTTAGGCACTGAATAGCACTTCTGCAGTATGTTGTTTCTGAATTCACAAGAAACCGCTCATCAAAAATTCTTAACAATTTCAAATCTGTTAGGTGTATAGTCATTAAAGGCTAATTACCACTGAGGAAATTCAAATTGAGCCTTGGACTACATTTAGCAATGGCTCAAGGGGATAAACCTCTTTGCCTCATCCCCATCAGAATAATGTTGTACACACATTCAGACCACCTTTGTCAGCCAATGCTAGGATAAACAAGGCAGCAGTGGATGCAAACCACTCTTGAGGTGTTGAGCCAGCAGCCCTCTGTCTCCATTTCCTTATTGTCTAGGATACCATTAAGGTGAGTATAGTTCTCCAACTGGTTATATCAAAATACGGAAATTTCTTTAAAAATAAAATTTTTAGCGAAAACAAATACGAAGGACAAAAGTCTATATAAAATCTTAAAATGTGCTCTCTTCAAATACTTCAAAGAAGAAAAGTTAAAACGCAGCCAATAATTTAAAAGTGTTTAATCATAAACACTTAGGAAAATGTCCTTTGACTTTTAGGTAGTGATTTCCATGTGGGAAAGTAAAAGGTGGCAGGCGAAAAGGTCACCTAACAAAGACCTAACTCTATAGCAGCACATTAACTAAACATTCATTATCTGTCTTAAAGAGAACAACATTGATGGTTTAAAACAAACCTAAGGAAGTTAAGCCGTTCTTGGACTTCTTGAACATGACTATATCTACTTCCCAGCCTCACAGTTTGGGGGTCATAGTCTTCATGATCTGCAAATTAAGAAAAATCATGCATTATACACACATGGATATCCACAACACTGCTGACTTTAACCAAAAAGAATTTAAGTAAGTTAAAAAGTCATTAATTCTTTATTAAAAGGCAACCTGAAGTTTACTATTAATTCATGGTTTCTACCAATCTCTTATTTTCCTTACAAAAACGTACTTTTACATAACCAAAAGAAAACAATGTGTTAAATGTGCTGTCATAAACAATTCTTCAGGGGCACCTGGGTGGCTCAGTCGGTTTGGCGTCTTTCTTCGGCTCAGGTCATGATCCCACGGTCCTGGGATAGAGCCCCACATTGGGATCCCTGCTCAGTGGGGAGCCTGCTTCTCCCTCTGCCTGCCCCTCCCCCGCTTGTGCTCGCTCTCTTAAAAAAAAAAAAAATTCTTCATCACAGCACCTTTGCACCATCTTTATACATAACGAAGCAATTTCTGATTACAGCCTAAAACTGACCTGAGTGGTCTGTGAACATGAATTAACTACCAGGACAAAATTTTTTTCTTGGATTTCCTTCCTGTTATACTGAAAAGTCTTCATGGAGAAAAAAAAAAGTTATAAAAATAAATATTACCAATTTTTTTATTTTTAAAGATTTTATTCATTTATTTGAGACAGAGTGAGAGCAAGAGCTGGGAGACAGAGGGAGAGGGAGAAGCAGGCTCCCCACTGAGCAGGGAACCTGACGTGCGGCTCAATCCTAGGACTCTGGGATCATGACCTGAGCCAAAGGCAGACAGACACTTAACCGACTGAGCCACTCAGGTGCCCGTTATTACCAATTTTTACCTAAAAAGAGTAACACAAGATGCTATTCTGTATAATAAATTATCACAGTTTTCACCATCAGCATGTTATGACAGTCTAGAACAGTCTCAGAAATTCGAGAAAACTGGCCCTTTCATCATGACCATGCTAGGTGTTGGTCACTAAGCCTAGCTTAATTTGTAAATTCCTTAGAAGAAAGAAGATGAGGGGCGCCTGGGTGGCTTAGTCGCTTAAGTGACTGACTCTGATCTCAGAGTCCTGAGATTGTATCCCACCTTGGGCTCCACGCTCAGCTCAGAATCTGCTCCAGATTCTCTCTCCCTCTGCCCCTCCACCCACTCACTCACACGCACACACACACACTCTAAAAATAAAAACTTTAAAAAAGAAATTAAAAAAAAGAAGAAAAAAAAAGGTGGCCCAGTTGGTTGAGCATCTGACTCTTGGTTTTGGCTCAGGTCCATGATCTCAGGGTTGTGGAACCCAGCCCCCGTGTGCGGAGTCTGCTTGAGATTCTCTCTCCCTCTCCCTATGCTCCTCCCACTTGTGCTCACTCTCTCTCAAATAAATAAATCTTAAAAAAAAGAAAAAGAAAGTTAGTAAACCCTTTGGTTTTTTCATTACAGTATACAATGGGTGGAAAAATCTCAGTATTTGCTATGAAAGACCACAGCAAAACACCTTAAAAAGCACCTATTGTCCTAAAAAGACGATGGACAGTGGTTTTCTGTTTTGACTTTACTGGAAAAAGCTGCATGACTTGGAAATGGTCAAGTTGATCTGCGGCTTGGAGCTAAGGAGACATGAAGCAAATGCTCTGACAAGTACCATCAACCACGAGGAAATCACTGACCTTTCTTCCAAAAGTTGTACCAAGTTACAGAGGAATGAGAAATTATGCGATTTCCCTTTAGCATTAATTACTGATCTTTGCATACCAGATCATGGACTTTATGGTACATGTGTGCTACTGCCACAGAATACTAATTGTGTGAGACCTTTCAGAAACAGTAACCAAAGTCTTCAAAAATAGTTAAGTTTCTTCTCTGAAGAAAATCTTGACATGTTGTAAAGATGGAACATATAATGTTTAAAAATGTTTTTGATAGTTTTGTGAAGCCCAATGTATTAGGACTGTTTTCTATTTTCACACGTATTACCATCTACCAAAAGTCCTAAACACACATTCTCTACTTCCACGAAAGTCAATTTCGTCAGGGCTCAGGACTTAAAGCACTACTTCTCAAGAGGTTTGCTCAAGAAACTGGATAGAATATAAAATACTAATCAACTATGTAGAACTTTTTTTTTAAGAGAGTGAGTGAGAAGGGGGGAGGGGCAGAGGGAGAGGGGACAGAAGGTAGGCTCCACGCCCAGCATGGAGCCCAACATGGGGCTAGATCTCTTGATCCCGAGTTCATGACCTGAGCTGATAACAAGAGTTGGACACTTAACTGACTGAGCCACCCAGGCACCCAAAAGTTTTCTTTCTCAAAGAACCAGTCCTCAGGTATCTGAATAATCAATGGACTTCGTTGCCTTTTTAAAAATTTAAACAAGGAGTTTATGCACAGCTTTGTTTACTTGCCATGTTCTTTTCTTGGGGAAATTTTAAATTTTAGTAATTTCAAACTTAGGACAAGTTTCAAAAATAATGCAAGAATTCCCTTATCACCTTCACCCATATTCACCAGTTGTTGACATCTTGCCCCATTTGTTTCATTAGTTGCCACATATACGTAAGTGTAGTTTTTCTTAACTATTTAAGAGTCAGTTGAAGACATGGCTCTTTACCCTTAAACACTTAAATGAGCATTTCCAAATAACGAGGACACTTGCTTATATAACCACATTACAATTACCAAATTAACACTGATACAGTACTGAAGTTAACTCTGATCACTTGGCTAAGGTGGTTTCCAGTAGGTTATTGCACTGTGAAGTTACTATTTTTATTTTCATAATCACTAAGTAATTAGTGGGGAGAGACCTGCAGACTATGTAAGTATCTTGCTTCTTACCAATCTTTGATCCCCTAGGTTTAGTATCCCCATTTTTTATTTAGGTGCCAGCACTTTATCAAGAACTAGGATCCTGGATGCCTGGGGGGCTCAGCTGGTAGAGCATGTGACTCCTGATCTTGGGGTCTTAAGGTTGAGCTCCACGGTGGGCATGGAGCCTATTTTAAAAAAAAGAAAAAACTAGGAATGTGAACACAAGCAAGAACTTTGAAGATATTTAATATCAAACAATAATCAAGAATAGTCAAGAAGTGGGGCGTCTGAGTGGCTCAGTTGGTTGGGTGTCTACCTTTAGCTCAGGTCATGACCCTGGGATCAAGCTCCATATTGGGCTTCCTGCTCAGCGGGAAGCCTACCTCTACCTCTGCCTGCCGTTCCCCCTGCCTGTGCTCTCTCCCTCCCTCTCTCTGTCCAACAAATAAATAAAATCTTAGAAAAAAAAAGAATAATCAATTAGTAAGAAGATCCATCAATGCTAAATAGGAAGGAAGAGACTTTACACTTTGCTACAGAGAAGATTCTGGGGTGTCAGAACATAAACAGGATGGTTGGTGGTTTTCCTTGTAAATATTCAGCTCTAAATACTATGATGAGTTAGGAAGGAGGATCCATTTTTTACTCCTGCTGCATCCCACTGACAAGAGCAAGAGAACTAAGATGAGAGTAAATTAAAGTGTCTATGGCTAAGGCTAATAAAAACTGGTTGTCATTATAGAATGCAAGTGGTTTAGAGTCTATTTCGTAACTCATTATGGAAGAAAAGTTCATTTGAAAAAATATCTTGAGACAGGATTCAAATACCATAAAATCCACACATTTAAAATGTACAATTCAGTGCTCGCTTCAGCGGCACATATACTAAAATGTACAATTCAATGGCTTTTAGTATAGTCAGGGCTATGTAAACATTTTTGTCATTTTTATTTTTGTCATCCTTAGGTGTGAAATAGAATCTCAATGTAGTTTTGATTCGCATTTCCTTAATGATACTGAGCATCTTTTCGTTTGCCTTAGCCATTTGTGTATCTTGGGAGAACTGTCTATACAGATCCTCTGCCCATTTCCTAACTGGGCTTTTAATTGTTGAGTTGTTAAGAGTTCTTATATAGTCTGGATTTAAGTCCTTGATCAGATATGATCTACATTATTTTGTCCCGTTCTTTGTCATTTTACTTTCTTGATTGTATCATTTGCAAGTAGTTTTTAACTTCGATGTACTCCAATATATTATTACCTTTTCCCTTCCTTACAATGTTGCTTTCCCCGAACCCAAAGCCACAAAAAATTATTCCAATTTTTTTCCTAAGAGTTTTATACTTTTAGGTCTATGGTAGGTTTTAAGTTTTGTGGATGGTGTGAGGCAGGGGATCAAACTTTATTCTTTTAGATGTGCATACCAGCAACATTTATCAAAAAGACTACTTGTTTCTTTTTTTTAAATTAAATTTTTTTTTAAAGATTTTATTTATTTGACACAGGGAGACAGTGAGAGAGGGAACACAAGCAGGGGGAGTGGGAGAGGGAGATGCAGGCTTCCCGCCGAGCACGGACCCGATGTGGGGCTTGATCCCAGAACCCTGGGATCATGACCTGAGCCAAAGGCAGGCACTTAACAACTGAGCCACCCAGGCACCCCAAGACTACTTGTTTCCAATGAATATTCTGGGCACCCTTATAAGAAATAAAGCATAACTTTAACAATTTATTTCTGGACTATCAATTATTACTGATGCATACATCTATTATGTCAGTACCACACTGTCTTATGGTTATTTTGCATTAAGTTTAAAAATCAGGGTTTTACAGGTCAGCCAATTTTGGTTTTTACAATCAAGACTGTTTTGGCTACTAGGGTCCTAAGGTCCCTTGCATTTCCATGATTTTTAGGATCAGCTTGTCAATTTCTGTAAAAAGAAAAAAGTGTGGATTTTTATAGGGATTGTGTTGAACCTGTAGACCAACCTGCAGAGTACTGTGACCTTAACAATATTAAGTGTTCCATGCAGTGGATATGGGCTCTCTCTCCCTTTACTTAGATCTTTAACTTCTTTCAACAATGTTGTTCTGTAGTTTAAAATGTGCAAGTTTTGGGGGTGCGTGACTGGCTTCATCAGTGGAGCTTGAGACTCTTGATCTCAGGGTTATGTATTTGAGCCCCCCTGAAAAAAATAAAATTTAAAAAAAAAACAAAA